TCGTGGCAAGATGCTTTACGCCAAATTTGAAATAAATACTTACCGGCAAAATTTCCCTCAAACGAATTGACTGAAACTTTATGTCCCCTTCACTTAGCTGCACAAAACCATTGTGCAATTCTACGCTGGGTTCATATTATATGTATTGATACTAGGTCAGGTCAAACGATCTATATACTGAACCTAAGTATTATATACACGTGGGGGGGGGGGGAGGGTGTGGATGGCTGAATGGTTAGCGTGCGCGCGCTGTATCATAAAGTCTGTCATTGAGTCGACTGGCGTGGTTTCGAATCCCCGGTTGTACGTGGCAAGGAGTAGGGTCACCTGTCCAACCTCGTGGGTTTTCTCCGGGTCCTCCGGTTTCCCCCCACTGCTAAAGACCCCTACGCGCAAGCGAATTATGTAAATAAAATTAAAATCATATGTTAGTCCCGAAATGACCTAGTTTGTGTCGAGTGGACGTTAAACCCCATTTCTCTCTCTCTATATATATACACGTATTTACTAGCTTGTAGTAATATGGATAATATAACGGGCTATCCCCGGATAGAGTTTATTCCAGCTATGTTGTGCAATATTGCTAACGTTCAGTTAATATTACAGGTATTGATAAGCCAGGTTAGACGTTCTATATACTGAACCTAAGTATTATATACTTACTAGCTTGTAATATAGATAATATAACGGGCTATCCTCGGATGTAATCACTTTTGTAGAGTTTATTCCAGCTATATCAATCACAACTCAAATATGTTACCATCGATTCGGTATGCCATGTAATATTTCTAGTAAACTTCAAATCAACCTTATAATTACAGCACACATCAGCATTGAACTTATATAATGTAAATAAATTCATACCAGGTCAGGCCCGGTGGAATGGGGGGCTAAGGGGGGCCGCAAGTACCCTTTTCTCCAAGTTATGACTCGCAAGTATCTATTCGGTTAGATACAATGACGTAACTGGAAGATGCCCGATTTTAACATAGAAACCCCACAGCTCTGAGCGCATCTCACTTCCGTTGTATCCATAACAGATTAGGTATATAATTAAAAGAATTAAAACGTCACTTCATTGCTGAGAAATTTTCTAGCCAGAAATCCCCCAGAAAGCGTTTCCGACGATCTAGACCCGCAGGGGCTTGCGGGGCATATGAGGCCCCTCGCCTAGAGTCCTAGGATGGTAAACCACCAATCAATAATTGCTTCAGCCGGCCCTGATGTTGTCAAGTGAACTCACGCGATCACGGGCTTTTTGCAGGCTATTTAAGAGACGGGTGTGGCTATGTACACATAACGCGTGCAACACAAATCGAATATTTATGCAATATAATGGATCGTATTTCTATGGTGGTATATTAGATTCATAACCCTAAAAAATAAACAGTGGGTTAATTGTGGAGGAATATAAAACTAGATGTAATGCAAAATATGTTTTGTCGGGCTTAGTAAATATATCCAATATATATAATCCCCACATATCTTTATTCTGGCAGACACAAAATGTCAAAGAGTGAATTAAGAAGTCTTAAATATGTGTCTTCATAATACAAAAATATCTCAATACAATGACCAAAGACACGTTTCAACGACAATTTTATATAAAATTAAATCGACATGATGTCTGTGATGGTACTCCATATAAAAATAAATAGTTTGGTGCACTAAAGCAAAGGTGACAAAATGGTAGCTTGTGACAAAATGGACATAGTATTCTAGAGAGGCCAACCGCTGTTAGGTGTTCAGATTGCTGCTGTGACTAACATAAAAGGTTTCACACAGAATTAAAGGAGCTAAATCGCTAATATTTGGGACCTAGAAATTGAGTGGGTCGCAACTCATATAATACTGTAATATGAATGTATATAAACTGATTTACATTCAATCGTTTCCGTTTTTACTCTAATTTCAAATCAGTTATGTTCTGTGAAATAAGCCAGCAGTCTCAATCGAGTGCAAATTCCTAGCGTCTGGTTATTCAAGTTTACATACGCCGTTTGGTTTGGTGCAATATGTCTAGCCTCGTTCTTCTAGTCTCTTGCTAGAACTGGGGCTGAAACGCATTATGGTACACGATTCGTGTACCAATGGTAAAATATTTATTTTGTCTTAAATATTGGATATCAGAAGCCCACCTTTTTCCGGTAAGATCACAGCATCAATGTTGTTTTAAATTGACAAATAATTCGTGTTTTAAATGTTGAAGATTTTGGATCATATTAAGTTAGAGACTTAGCTCCTTTAAACCATTTTTATTCACTACAATATATGTGGAATTTCTACTTTAAAGTCCAACTGCTAAAGCCTTTATTACACAAGAAAGTTATAAAGCTAATTGTTAATAAGAAAAATGTCTGTCTGTCTATCTATCGCTCAGTTTGATTGGTTGTTTGAGGCTCAATTTGAGGAGTTTGTGTTTAATTTCTACGTTCTTCATGGGTGGTGCAAAACCCAGTGATGGCGCTGGCATCAAATTGGTTGCTTGGCCTTCAGGACATCTAAATGTGAAATTTCTCAGAAGTAGAGCCAGCATGAGATGCATCTCGGGTCTGGCAATAGTTTCGCCCAAACAATTCCTACGTCCAGCAGAAAATGGCAGCCATGACATTGTTTTTGGCGCCAATTTTCCATCTTCATCCAGGAATCTCTCAGGTCTGAAGACTTCTTGATCTTTCCATACATCTGGATGTGGTGAAGAGCGAAATGATTTATCATCACCATGGTACCTTCTGGTATCTCGTAGTCTCCAGCAACATACATACGTGTATATGAAAAGAATCCCAAATAATTTCGGCCATCAATGAATAAAGTGCATTGTGATAATTAGGTTAATAATTAGAGTCTAATAAACTAAAATGTTATTATATACAAATCAAGGTGTTATAATTTATACAGCATGTTTTATCTAGATTGCTGGGTCTACCTCTCAACATGACGTATCACAGCGTGTTTTATTTGCTGGATTTACCTCTAGACCTACCTCAAATCGTATCACAACGTGTTTTATTTACACTGCTAGATTTAAACAAAGTTGTATCGCAGCGTTAGAATAGCAATATCTTAACGCAAGCGTGCGCATTTAAAACAAAATGATGACACAAAATATGGCTCGTTAATTCAATTAACTCGACAAAAATCATCTTTTCAAGTGTAAAATCATCTCAAAGATCACAATACATGTATGTTGACATATTACCCTATGAATATCCCGGGATCTGCCTCGATATTGGCCCCTATATGCTTCCATACTAGACATACCTAAAGTTACATCGCATCGTGTTTTATGTGGTAACCCCAATGGAAAAACAGGACAGATTCTCATACTCTCGTGAAGAACAGCCTCTGGGTATGGTAATCTTTCTCTACTGCTTACTATATAGGTATAGTGCTAATAAAATCTAGTTTGCCCAACTTAAGAATTACTCAAATCTGGAACTCCCCTTCTTCGACATGTTTGTCCCTGCCGTCTGCCATTAAAGATGCATTCATTATTCAAGAGCTAAATCTGCATATTGCAGGTCTTTTCTTAGGCTTAAATGTTGTATAAATTATTAATTAATCAGGGGCAATAATTCAGAAATTTATGGTCTGAAATGCGCATGAAATCGGATAAAAATTGTGACCTCTAGAGGGTCCACAACCTTCGTATTGCATACTTTTACAAAATTTGCGTACAAAGAGCGGCCATTTTGTCGGGCAGTTTCATTTCGATTTTTCCGAAACTCGAATTCAACCTTCATTAACATCGGAAAAAAAATTGTGAGCTCTAGAGAATCCGCGAGCTAAAAATGCGATTTTTTCGAACAATCAGGAGCCATAATCCAGGAAGTTACGTTCGGATATGCGCGATTATCAAAAGGAACCAAGATCTTAGTGTGCAATGGTGATATATTCACATGTTTTTTTTTAAATTGTGACCTCTACAGGGACCGCAAGCTAAACATGTGATTTATTTGTACAATCAAGGGACATAATTCAGGAAGTTACGATGCGATACGCGCAAATATCGAAAAGAACCAAGATCTTTGGGTAACAAACACGCATTTCACCTTTTTTCAAAATCGGATCAAAATTGTGACCTCTAGAGGGCCCAAAACCTTGATATACCAGATTCTATGCATTATTTACATACGAGGGGCGGCCATTTTGTCCGGCAGTTTTGGCCCGATTTTCACGAAATTCGAACTCCACAAACATCACGGTGTAACGGTGATACCACCAGCCCTGTCCGAGCAGAACAGTAGGACGTTAAATCCCATTTCATTTATTTCATTCAAGATAGACTATTGTCAAGAATAAATACATCTAGGAGTATATAATATAGAAATGTTTAATGACAAACATGAATGGTTATTTGTAAATCAACTCATCCTCCTTACAAAATATTACATCTATGAATGTAAAAGTAAAAATACATTCCCAAATAAAGATCAGTACCTCAACTTTATGAAACCTGTGTAAAGACAGAGCTGGATTTGTTTCGAAGACAAATGGAAATATGAAATTTAATTATAAAGGTACAACACAAATCAACCTACACCCCCCCCCCCCCCATCGGAAGAAAGTACAACACATGTATACTCTAATCTGGATTTTATCCGCATTTTAAACATAAAGAATAAAGAAGAATATACTGTGTAATTAGGTCATTTTTTCTAGAGTGTATATTATACTATAATTGTACTATAACTGTCTACACATGTATTTTCGACATATTTAATTTATGTATCGAGAAATGTTTTTGTATTATAATTATTATTATTATTAAGAACAAATAAAGAAGAAAAAAAAAAAAGAATGTACATACACTATATTTCCATGTCGATCACTTTTTGCAATTCTTTGGGCTATTAACAAAGAAACGCTCGAGTGGGGTCAGTTGGTGGTGAATTCATTCAGAATTTATATCTGAAATAACTGTGCGTTAATAGGAATTGATATTCGTTTCATTTAATGGGTACGTGTGTATAATTTTTATTAACCAGGGGAGGACAACTCTCGCAGTTACCCCTAGCAACCGTTTGTAAATAATCCATCGACAAGTTACAGATTATTTCAGACCAACTGTAAAAGAAAACAGCCAGCTTCTCTCATGAACCCCACGACGATTTAACAGCCAAAATGTCTGAGGTAAGATTATGACCAGAAATAAACACTACCTATATTGAATTGTTGAAACGACAGACCGTTATCTAACGGTACAGCTTTCAAATGTATCGACTTGACAAAACAGTGAATGGCCGATCTGCCTCAGTCATTGACTTACAACATTCGACCGGTTACAAGACTTAGCCTAATAATGAAATACGATTTAGATAGATATCTAAACTCATATTTAATACTAATAGACATAATTATGGTCGCTAGGCCTTCACACAAAAACAAATAACGTGAGAAAAAGAGAAAATCTGATCATGACGGACTACCGACTAGGCAATGGCATCTTTTACTCAAATTACTGGGCCTGCCTGTGCCCCCAGTAAATAAATAATTAGGATTAGATCTACAATGTATTTAAAATAAGCAAATTCAGTAACATTTTTTCCATTTTATAGAATAAGTTAGTACCGTTACTGTGACTAAATCATACATGATCATGATGCTACAGTAAGCATGTGTCATTTTAAAGATAGGCCTATAGACTATTTCTATAGGAATCACTGTGCTTGCAAACTACAATATTGTGATTGTGAACGAAAGATAAATCTCTAATAAGAATTTTGTCTAAAATGGATATCATTCAGTAGTTTTACAAAGGCATAGTGGAATTGAAATTTCAACGATATGCTCGATCACTAAGTACGTAAAAACCTGTTGTCATTTTGTTGTCTGCAAAAATTCATTAATAAACCTGTTTTAAAACTGATTGAATCCATGCCAGGACATTTATATCTAGCATTGGTATTTTGATTTTGATTTCTTAAAGATACATTATTGGAGATTTTTATAGAGAGTTGGCCATTCTTGCTATAACAGTTCAAAAGTAGATGATGAAAGAAGAATATATTGAAAAATTCAGTCAAATTACTTTATTCTGAACATAGTTATCATCGTTGTAATATTTGCCTAGAAATGGTAGCGAAATTTGTCTTCACCTTCGCGGATCGTTTGATTGACAGACGTTAACTCCACCTACATATCTCGATTATCAAGTAAAGTTTTCAATGGCATACGGAAACGCTTTACAGCGGCCTCGCTAAGTACACTTTATCATTTAGCCTCGATCTAACTGACGTGTTTTCATCAGGTTACCCCTTATCTGATTTAATCAATTAGTGAAATCCTATTTAAATCCGAGCTGTAGCCGAGCCATCCGTGGGTCTACAGAGTTGATTTTGGTCTTGTTGTTTAAATAAAGATCTAATTTATAATTTCTATAACATCTGAAGCCTAAATTAAGACTTGCAATAATCAGATTTAGCTCTTGCATAATGCATGTTTAATTAAATGTTAAATGATCATTATGAGCATATATTACTAATATTAATAGTATCCTGGATTAAGCTGTGAGCAATTTGATATTTTAACGAAAAATGCAATAAATGACACATCGTCACTTTAACTTTAGATCCTGACAACCCCAAGTTTGGCTGACTAATGTTTCTGTCGTTCAGCAAGTCAGTTTGTTGTTGCAGGATTTTTTCTGAATTTTGTAATGTATCATTTATAGTGATTATTATTATTTAGTTTCGAATGCCGATGATGTATTTTTGTTCTTTGATTTGCAGGAAAAGAAAGAAGTTAAAGATGGAAAGGTGTCCATAGATGACACGGCCTTTGAGGCTTTAGAGAAAGATTTCTCAGAGGTAAATTTAATTGCTCAGTAAGGCTGTCAACAAAAATCGATACAGATCTTCCACGATACATGTCGCAATACAGAATTTGGTGTTACCATTTTTTACTCTACTTTCATTTTCTTTGCAAGTAGACTTTTGATGGCAGTTTTTATTCCATTAAGTAGTTCCTGTCATTTTCAACTTTGTGTCGGACATGCATTAATGATGTCAATAATTAATGTTCCGGACAAATTTGCAGGAGCCAGAGGGATTGTGTCTGACAACGTTTGAATTTGTGCCGGACAATGTCTGACAGGTGCCTTATGTCCAGACTATATCTAAGCACACTTTTTATTTTTTAATTCAATTCATTTGTTGTACTAAAATGTTAGTTTGGTATCATCAGACATAAGTATTGCATCAGACATTCTTCGGAAAATTCCACAAATAAGTATTGCAATACATATTGGAATACATTTGACTGTTTTGCAATATGCTCAGTTAGAACTGTACATGTTTATTAGTTTTATTGTAATAAGGTTATTATAAAGCATGTACTTTGATAACTTCACCAGAGCTTTTAACGTAAGGATTCATTTATATGTTAATATATTGATACTGCTAATCAATCTTTATATTTCTTTTCTTCAGGTCCTCAATGAGTTGATGGGAGATAGAAGTTTAGAAAAATTTAGGATCGAGTATGAAAAACTTCACAAGGCTTTGAAAAAATCACATGAAAGTGAAAAGCGGTTAATGCAAAAATGCCGAGAATTAAATTCGGAGATTGTTGCCAACTCTGCCAAAGTTTCTACAGCCTTGAAACTATCTCAAGAAGATCAAGCTACTATTGCATCTTTGAAAAAGGTTTGTATTTTTAGCAGCAAATAATTATGTTCGACCCATAGAAAATTTAGTCAATGATAGGCTAAGAACATTGTGTACTACACTATTATAACAGTCAGGTATATAGTTATACATGTGTCTAGGGAGACAGGGAAATGGGGTTTAACTTCCACTCAACAAATTTTGGTACCAGCATTGAGCATGGTACAATTTATATTAAATTAATTTGGTTAATGGCCTGGTTAATATTTTTCTCTCTCTAAGTCCCACCTTCTCCTGCATACTCTATTGTATAGCAAGTTTCTTTAATTTAAACTTTAAATGTAATAAATTTATCCATAATCATTTTTTGGCATTTTAGGAAATCGAAAAAGCATGGAAAATGGTTGATACGGCTCATGAGAAGGAAACTCGAGGAAGGGAGACAATTCAATCATTGAAGATGGAGATCGCTAATCTGAGTAAACTGGTAGAACAAGGAGCAGGGTTAACTATGGGTCAAGAACATAGGTAAAAAAGAATACACTGGTTTTTGTTTCCTAATTCTGAGCAATATAACATTATTATGAAGTCACACTAACCTTGACTTGCATTATGTTAATGTTGAATAGCTTCTTGACCCTCTTCCCCTCCCTCTCCCCATTCCTGTTTTAGGAACATGTCGTAATAAAGCAAACCATGTAGTTTAGATCCTAATGCAATTCCTTTACAAGTTGTACAGAGATTCAATATACGTAAAACTCGTGCCTTAATTTAAAAGGGGATATTGACAAATGCCTGATATGATTGATGGATAAAAGAAAGTAGTCATAACTATTACTATTAATTATTTTATATTTTCAGTGTGAATGAACTTTTGAAAATAAAAGAAGAATTAACAAAAGAAAGAGATGAACAGTTTTCAGAAATTACACGTCTCCGTGAAAAATTGGCAGAAGCTAACACACAGCAACAGCAACTTGAACAAAACCAAGTTGAGACAGAAGAGAAGATTCAAGAGGTATGATAAAATTCAGCTTCTTTATTTTTTTTATCGAATTTGATCACATTTTGATTTTGATATCTGAATTTCTGTCATTCAATCTTGCGGCACATAATACCGCTTTTCACATTTTAATATCTCATGTTTTTTTCACGTAGCCTCAAAGTATTAACCGACGTTGGGGCGTATCAAAATATGTTAATTTAAAAAAGCTCTAGATAATAAAATTGATCAATTTGTTTTGCTATTTTAGTTGAACCAAGATATTCAGATGAGAAATAATGAAGCCCAGCGTGAAACTAGAAAGAAAGATAAAGTTGAAAGAGAGCTGAAACAAGCTAGGGCAGATTTAGATTCGAAAATCTCAGAAATAAAATCAATGCAGAATAATATCGAACGTCAGAAACAGGAAAATACAAAACTTGAACAGCAATTGAAAGAACAAAGAGTAAGTAAAATTACAATTATTCATTATAAAAAAACGAAACGTCCAATACAATGTCCATCAATTAAAACAGTCAAATGATCATTTTACAGTTTTGTGAAATTTAAATCTTTCTAAAAAAATAGTTCAATTCTGGTCAGTACTGATGAAGATACGATCAACTGATCATTTCGAAGACATTTGGCCTCCTCTTTTGGCTATCTTCCAAGTTGAGTACAAGTTCTTTATCCAAAAATATTTATCGGTGTTGGGTTTTGAATGAGAGATCAGCTACTGAAGATATCAAAATGATTTATTTATATATTTATCTGTATTAGGTTTTGAATGAGAGATCAGCTATTGAAGATGTTGAAATGATATATTTGTATATTTATCTGTGTTAGGTTTTGAATGAGAGAGCTATTAAAGATGCTGAACATCTCAACACTCGAGTACAGAAACTACAGGCTGATAATGAGACTCAGATATTGAATGCTGATGCACTAGCCAATGAAAATCAAACAAGGGTTGCTGAGCTCAAGGTATGTGGTTTAACCCCAAGTTTTTTTCTTAGTACCATTGTTCACATCCACAGGGGGGTCACGGTGGCTAAGTGGTTAAGACGCTGGCTTGCTAGTCTGGAGGTCAGGTGTTCGATCCCTGCATTGGCTGAGAAAGTTCATCCCGATTTTCCAGTGTGGTTCCCCCTTGTCAGTGATGCAGGACGGAGGGCCTGACAAGGACAGCTGTCTAGTCATTCGGATGGGACAAAAAAAACCCGAGGTCTTGTGTACACATTGGCATGCACGTAAAAGATCCTTTGACAGTTTGAATTCGATATAAGTAGGCCATAGTGCCACCGTCCGGGCAAAATTTGCCTTATAGCACACTGTATGGCGTATGCCCGTCTTCATTGGTCCAGTTCGGAGCAGAGCAGTAGGACGTTAAACTCCATTTCATTTCATTTACGTCCATTGTTTTGTATGTATCTTTATAAAACCACAATAAAATCTGCCCAGCTACAAAATACATATTACATATTACATCAAGTCAAATGTTTTCAAAATGAAACTTAACGAAATGTAGTTCAGCATCTTATTTTTATGCACCAGGTGTGCAAATGTAGATGGACATACACCATACATTGAGCTATGTGGGAAAGTTTTCCCGGACGCCAATGCTATTATGTTAAAAAATGTAATTATGTAGCAAGTTGGCAACTAAAATAACGTTTATTTGGAGTAAATACCAGAGATAAAGCTCTAAGAATTTTAAATTAATCTACATATTCAATATTAAAGGCTTATTAGTGATGAAAAATTATTCAGGCTTACTTAAGCTTGTTGCTGCTTTAATCTGGTAAATATAGAATTAAATTTCTATCCAATACGAAATTTTTATTTTCAGCAAAAAGAAGAAGAGGTTATGTCATTGAAATCAGAAACTCAAAAATTGAACAAATCTCGAGACACTATCAATAGAAAGTTATTGGCAATAGAAAGTAACAAGATCGAGATAGAAAAACAGAAAGATCTATTACGTGGACAGATTGTTGGATTAGAGAGAGGTTTGTAAATAGTTGATAAATGATCTCTTGAACTGAATACTACAATTGAAATATTCAATGTTTTTAGAGATGAATCCGCATGGTTTCTCTCTGTTTTTTTTTCACTGCTAAAGCTCCGTACGTGCAAGCAAATTATTAAAATAAAGTTGAACCTGACGTTAAACTTACCCTTTCTAAATTACATTTTTGTTCTGATGAAAAACAATTCTGGTTGATATCTATCCAGGAAGTTGTAACTGATATGTATCATGCAGGTTCTAACCGATATGTATCATGCAGGTTCTAGCGGATGTGTATCATGCAGGTTCTAGCTGATGTGTATCATGCAGGTTCTAACCGATATGTATCATGCAGGTTCTAACCGATATGTATCATGCAGGTTCTAGCGGATGTGTATCATGCAGGTTCTAGTTGATGTGTATCATGCAGGTTCTAGCGGATGTGTATCATGCAGGTTCTAACTGATATGTATCATGCAGGTTCTAACCGATGTGTATCATGCAGGTTCTAGCTGATGTGTATCATGCAGGTTCTAACCAATGTGTATCATGCAGGTTCTAACCGATATGTATCATGCAGGTTCTAGCGGATGTGTATCATGCAGGTTCTAGCGGATGTGTATCATGCAGGTTCTAGCTGATGTGTATCATGCAGGTTATAGCCGATATGTATCATGGAAGTTCTAATCGATATGTATCATGCAGGTTCTAGCTGATATGTATCATGAAAGTTCTAATCGATATGTATCATGTAGGTTATAGCTGATATGTATCATGCAATTTCTAACCAATATGTATCATGCAGATTATAACCGAATAAATCTGTTGTAGCACTTTTCATAATCTTCAATGATCAATCTATATTAAATGTTGGGAGCTTCTATGCATATCATTTTCGGTAACTTTCAACACGTTTTTTCATAAGGATTTCATTAGTTACTTTTTAGACATTTTTTCTTTCTGCTTGGTAGCCATCGAATCTTGTAGTGGAAGTTAGATCTCTTCCTCGTATACAGAAAATGAATTTGAAATTAATAGAGCAGGCAGTGCCTGAAAATAACTGATTAAAATTTGATTCACCTTTATTTATATTAATCAACCTCTCTATTTCTGTTTTCTAGAATTGGATGCTGCTAAGAAACAGGGTGAAATGGATCGTAAAGCTATTGATGATTTGGTTAGAGAAAGAGACATCTTGAATAAAGTAAGATCTGGTTTCAGATATTTTTTTATTTATAAACCATGTTAATCAGGATATCTAAATGAAATTGGGGAACAGGCTTAGCCTATGTAAAACTCTCTCCTATAAATAAATATAAATATATCAAGGGGATACTCAACTGAATGTTCCAGAATTGAATTCTCTCAATCCCCAAATTAGTGACAATCAAGTCAAAAGAGGGATTTCGGGCAACAAGGCATAAAGAAAATATCTCAACCAACCAAGACAGCTGAAACATATACCTTGTGTTTAATTACATCATGATTCTGCTCACAACACCTCCGTTGTCGGAACTAACAGAACTGTGACAGGACTGAATTGCAGTTCTGTTAAATCGGGACATTCTGTACTGACAATCGAGCATCCCCCTAATAATAATAATATTAATATGAAAATGAAATGTAATGGAGTTTAATGAATACATCAAGTCTGCCTCTGAAATGGGTGAAGGGATGCAACACTGTCAAAGTATGTTGTGATTTGAGTCAAATCTGAAAAACTCGGTTTTTAAGGTTTAACTTTTTCTAAAATAAATCAATATGTACCCCATCCTTATGCTTAGTCAGATATTCCCAACAAATTCCTAGAAGTGGTGATTTTATAAGAGAATAAGAGTTGTTGACAAATCGACCAACAAAAAAGAGGAAATACAAATCAGAATGACATTTATGTAAAATGTATGCAATAAAATTATTAATTTGTCATATAAAATTTTTCTGTATGTCTTTTCAGCATTTATTGAAAGCAATGGGTGGTACCCAGAAACAGCTTCATCTTGTTAAATTACACGAACAATCCAAGAAAAACTTGGAACAGGAAATCTACCAATATAAGGAAGAAGCTCAGAAACAGAGAAAGATTATTTACCAGTTAGAGAAAGAACGAGATCGTTATATTAACGAAGCTAGTGACTTAACACAAAAGGTATTGTTTTAACTACTTGAAAAAACAAAAATAAAATGTTAAAAATAGAGTTTGTAAGCGTAACAAACCAGTTTATGACAAAAGCAATTTTTAGTCAAAATCTGCTTTAGTTTTAACATAATGGAAAAAGTAATGTGTAGTCAAAATTTGCTTCAGTTTTAACATAATGGAAAACACAATTTGTAGTCAAAATTTGTTTTAGATTCAACATAATGGAAAAAACAATGTGTAGTCAAAATTTGTTTTAGTTTAAACCTAATGGAAAAAGCATAATTTTAGTTTCAACATAATTTTTAAACTTTTTTAGATATAATAATTGCTTATTATTCCATAAAATAGCGATACAATGTCTTGTAATTAAATAATAATGATCGCTTTATATAATTATCAGTCTCTGTTAAGATTTTCTAAAATAATATTTTATAATTTCCACAAAGAAGTCCTGAAATTGAATTACAATATAATGGCTATATTATCTCGATCTGTCAAGATTTTCTAGAATAAAATATATTTTATAATTTCCACAGGTATTACAACATATGGAAGAGGTGAAAGTACGTGAGATGCAGATCTTTGATTACAAAAAGAAAATTGCTGAGGCTGAGACGAAATTAAAACAACAACAGAATCTGTATGAAGCTGTTAGAAGTGACAGAAATCTCTACAGTAAAAATCTTATTGAATCACAGGTATATGAATATTTATCATTCTATTACCTGCTGTAACTTGTGTAAAATTTTAATTAATTTATTAACCAAAGTATTTTTTAGATCTGAATTTGTCCCTATAACTGTATTTTTAGAACAATTTGCTCGTATAACTGTATTTTTAGAAAAGAATTTGCCCCTATAACTGTATTTTTAGAACAGAATTTGCCCCTATAACTGTTTTTTTAGAACAGAATCTGACCCTGTAACTGTATTTTTAGAACAGAATCTGACCCTATAACTGTATTTTTGGTATAAGTGATATTTTGAGTACATTTCAACATGGATAAAGTCCTGAAAAATTAGATATTGTCCAAAAGGTACAAATGATGATCAGCACAATAAAATTAATGATTTTATTGATATTTTAGGATGAGATCACAGAAATGAGACGTAAGTTGAAGATCATGAATCATCAAATAGATCAGTTGAAAGAAGAAATTCAGGCTAAGGAAGCTGCCTTGGTGAAAGAACATCTGGAACATCAACGAGTGGATAAAGAAAAGGACACACTTAAAGCTGAATTACAGAAAATGAAACAACAGGCATCAGAAAGTAAAGCTTACATTGAAGCTCAAGAAGCTGAGGAAAGGAAATTATTGAAGATTATTGCTGAGGCTGATGCGGAACGAGTTAGACAAAAGAAAGAACTGGATCAGGTAACTATATGGATGTTGTTTGATAATTTAAGATTCAAATAGCCAGATATAAAAAAAGAAATACAGGTTGCCACACCCAAATCAAATCAAATCAAAATGGGTATTCTTGATGAATGGAGGGAGGAAGTTCCAAAATTAATTTTTAAAATTTATCTTTTTAATTAATGATTTTGTCTTTGGTAAAACAGTTGGCATTTCTACCAAATAAGTCATGGCTTTAATTGTGTTTTAGAAATTTTTGAACCCATTATTCAGCCTTATTATTTTATAAAAGCAAACTAAGATTTTATTGTTTTATTCTTCAGGTAATCAGTGAAAGAGATATTTTGGGTACCCAACTTGTGAGACGTAACGATGAATTAGCTCTTCTATATGAAAAGATTAAGATACAACAATCTGTGTTGAACAAGGGTGAAATACAGTATAATCAACGTATTGAAGATATCCGAGTGTTGAAACTTGAAATTAAGAAACTGAGAAGAGAAAAGACTATTTTACAGAAGAGTGTTGCTAATGTTGAAGATCTCCGGTGAGTTATTAAATTGATTGATTTCTGATTTTGTCATAAAAGAAAACAGAAATTGGGGGGAATAATCATAATTGAATGTATTTATGATGTCATAATTGAATGTATTTATGATATCATAATTGAATGTATTTATGATGTCATAATTGAATATATTTATGATGTCATAATTGAAATTGTCTTAAAGATACATTATGGGAGATAAGATAAAGAGATGGCAGTTCTCGCTATAATAGTTAAAAACTAGATAGTGTAAAGGTAATTTGCTGAAAATTTCAGTCAAATTGATCCACTATGAGCCGAGAAAGAAGCGGGTGAAATTTTTGCATAGTCTCGGTCATCATTACTAAAATCATTAATATAAACAGCATATAGTCTCGATTATCCACTTTTTCTGATTTAATTATCAGTGGCCGTCAGCGGCATATAGGAATCTTATCCAGCCAACATCGAAGGCTAGCCTTGACATCGAGAGTTTATTATGGTCTGGATAAGTTAATTAATGTCTAATTGATAATTTAGATAACATTTCAGGCCTAAAGAAAGACTTGTAATAAGCAGATTTTGCTCTTGCATAATGCATGTTTAAGTGAAATTATTTATGATGTTATAAGAGAAATTGTCTTTAGTGAAATTATTTATGATGTCATATAAGTGAGATTATTTATGTCATAATTGCAATTATTTTTGATGTCATAATTGCAATTATTTATGATGTCATATATGAAACTATTTATTTCATAATTGTAATTATTTATGAATTTTTTTTTGATGTCATGAATGAAATTATATATGATGTCATAAGTAAAATTATTTGAAATTTTATATGATGTCATAATTGACATTATTTATGATGTCATAATTGACATTATGTATGATGTCATAATTGACATTATGTATGATGTCAAAATTGACATTATGTATGATGTCATAATAGACATTATTTATGATGTCATAATAGACATTATTTATGATGTCACAATTGAAATTGTCTTTATTGAAATTATTTATATCGCAAATGGAAATATTTTACGATAATATAATTAAAATTATTTATGATACAATTTATTGTTGTCACAATTCTAATTATTTACGAAGTCATAATTCAAATTACTTTAAATATTTATGCTATTATTGACATCTTGTTTGCAAAATCATTGATTTATACTTGGTATGTCAGCATTCAGCACAGTATTAGTAGATGTACAGGTATTGATAAGTTTATGAATTATACATTTTCAGACGTGAAGTTTATCATATTCAACGTGAGTTATTGAGAGAAAGAACGCGATGTAAAGCTCTGGAGGAAGAATTAGAAAACCCAATGAACATTCATAGATGGAGGAAACTGGAGGTAGGATAAAGTTCTTTTTAAAGTCTAAAAAATATTTACATCAATCTAATTTTATTTTTTGAAAGTATAATTTATAAAACAATAAATTGTGTCAGTGATCAATCTAAATTTAATTTATGGAAAATTTTAATTTTTCAGGGAAGTGATCCAAGTACATTTGAAATGATCCAGAAGATTCACACCCTACAGAAACGATTGATCCAAAAAACCGAAGAAGTTGTTGAGAAAGAATTATTGATTCAAGAAAAAGAAAAACTTTATTTAGAATTAAAACATATTTTAGCTCGACAACCTGGACCTGAGGTTGCAGAACAATTACAGATCTATCAACAAACCTTGAAAGAAAAAACAAAACAAATGAAGGTAGGGATAATATTAAACTACGTTTCTATTTCATCTATATATTATTAGTATTTATCTCTTTAATCTACTTGGACTTGCAATCTGATTAAAATACAGGCCCCGAGTTCACAAAACATTCTCAGACTTAAGTTGAGAATTTACTCAAAATTGTTTGCCTTATTTTAACTAAAATATAGCCCTTTATGAAACTTTTGTTGTTTTAATGTATCAAATACATCAATAAGAAACTATGTGCAAAGTTTTGTGTTTCTGCATCAAAGATATTTCTCATAAACAGTGATTGAAAGTTGAGCAAATTCTCAACATAAGTCTGAGAATGCTTTGTGAACTCGGGGCCACATCTATATTTCGTTTTGTTTTTTATACTCTCGATAGCCTCCACCACATAAAAAACTGACTAGTTGTAGTCTGAGGTCGTGTCAGGGGTCATACGAGCGGCTGTTCACCCTATGAAGTCAGACCTTTGATTTACTAATCAGCGTTTATGTTTATACTGGGATACCCATAGTTCCGTGCACTGCATGCCAAAAACTCGCTGTAACAGACCGTTTAATTGGCTATTCCTCACATCAACCAGAACGCAGGTCATATAACAACTCTTCCAGATCCCAGTGTAGTACTAGTAAAGACAAGTAAAACGAAATTTTGAACTATGAAAAATGAAACGAAATAGGATCTGTGTTTTAATCAGATTGATGAACTTTGTTAATTTGTTTACAGTTTACAGCTGATGGACATAAGATACATTTTTCATAAGAAAGCAATCTCAATCAACATATCATAAATCTAGTTGTCTTCTTCTAGTAGGTATTTGAGGTTGCTTCCAACTAGGGTGACATCGCAGGCAATAAAAAAATCATTACAATTATTTCTTTTTTCCGGGCTTACATTTTCCATGTAGGAGTACAGTCGATGACTCATCCTAAAAATATAATATTTGTTAAACTGGCCAGGTTTGATTGAATCTTCTTACTTATTAAATTCTATGTAGGCCTATTGCTTTTTTTTTTAAAGATTTAGTTTAATAATTATTTTTTTATCTGTATTGTAGGCTATGGCGTCAGAGTTGAACATGTATGAATCACAAGTTAATGAATATAAATACGAGATTGAAAGAATAGCACGGGAATTACAAGAAGTCAAGAAGAAATATTTCTTACAGAAAAAGAAAGAACAATCATCGAAGTAAGATATTATAACTTGTTTCATCTGTGTCTGGATTTGCACAATCTGATTGAAATACTCGATCCCTGCATTGGCCGAGAAAGTTCATCCCGATTTTCCGCCGTGGTTCTCCCTTGTCAGTGATGCAGGACGGAGGGCCTGACAAGGACAGCTGTCTAGTCATTCGGATGGGACAAAAAAAACCCGAGGTCTTGTGTACACATTGGCATGCACGTAAAAGATCCTTTGACAGTTTAAATTCGATATAAGAGTAGGCCATAGTGCCACCGTCCGGGCAAAATTTGCCTTATAGCACACTGTATGGCGTATGCCCGTCTTCATTAGCCCCGTTCGGAGCAAAACAGTAGGACGTTAAACCCCATTTCATTTCATTTCTGATTGAAATACAGATTTAAGGCAATATAATTAATATTGACGCAAACTAAAAATAACTTATCAGTGTCAAATACCGATATTTCAGTGAACTTTAAACATACCAATTGTACACCCTTTTATCATTTAATTTAAAACGGAATTATGGAAGATTAATAAAGAGCTGACAGTTCTTGCTATAATAGTTAAAAAATAGATAATGTAAAGAGAATATACTGAAAATTTCAGACAAATTACTTCACTCTGTGCCAAGAAATCCTCTTTTAAATAGCACTGTAACTCCTCATTTTAATAACACTGTAGCCTCGATTGTCATTGTTACCGTTATTACGATAATAAACAAAGTCTCGATTATCCATTTTTACGGTTAATCATCAACAGCCATTGGCAGATTTAGCTCTTGCATAATGTATGTTTAATACCTCTCTTATGGCTTACAATATCTGGGTTTCATCTTGTTGTCCCTTGTGGTTATGTATAGTTTGGTAATACTCACTTTTTCACGTGACAAGGAGTAAGGTCGCCTGTTAACCTCTTGAGTTTTCTTTGGGTCCTCAGATTTCCGCCCACTGCTAAAGACTTCTATGCGCAAGCGAATTATTGAAATAAAACTGAACCATATGTTAGTCCCAAAATGACCTAGTTTTTATTGAGTGGATGTTAAACCCCGTTTCTCTCTCTCTCTCTCCCCTAGCTAGATATAACTGATAAAATGGTGATTGAGTGTAGCCTGGTATACAGAGGCTGAAATTTGTACACTGCATGCAGGGCCCTGAAATACCAAACTTTCGACTTTCAATTTAATCTAGAAACAGAAATTTTATTGTAACATGTTCTCATTATTTTCTTTTTCTTGTAGGGAAAGAGAAAGAGCTATAATCAATACTGGTACTGCAGCTATACAACCACAGCGAACTGATGCAGCAAGATTCACTGGCGGGGGATTTAATTTAAAAACGGCTAAAACAGCAGCATAATCAGTGTACAAACAATTCTTAACGTAATTTATATTAAAAGTGATTTTTTTAAACATATACAAGCATTCTCTTACAAACCTTCCTAATTGTAAGACACTGATGAAACTGCTTCCTTATTAACCCTTTAGCCCTTGGACCCTGATCCTAAAACACCTGAAACTACTCTGGTATCTAAAGTAATGTGAATAGGTGTGAACTATTTAAAGACAGTACACCAGTTCTGTGACCCAGGAAATCTAGGGATGAGTACTTTCATGTCATTTATCTAAATGAGCTACAAAATTTGATGCATGATGCAGAAACATCACTTTTTTTTCTGATTTTCTTTTTTTTTTTACCAAGGGCTAAAGGGTTAATGAATATACCATGTCAAAATACTTATAACAGTTTTAACAAAAGATCCCTTAATTCTATGTCCTCCTTCTCAGAATGTATTGTAATAATGTCTCTTTCTCCTTATTGTAATAATGTAATAATGCATTGAAAGAACACCTTAAATCCAACATGTGATATTGGTTCTCTTAGATTTTGTAATTTGTGTGAATACATATCTTGTATTGTAAGACACATGAATACATTTTTTGTATTGTAACACATTGAATACATATTTTGTATTGTAACACATATTTTAGCAAACCGAACAACCTACACCAAAACCATTAACAGATAATATTAGATATCAGAAAAAGATCTGTCTAATTTCAAGGTTAAAATGGATTATGGAGAATTGTTTTTACATTACTATATGGTTGAATATGGTATTCAGTACAATCTTTTTATCGGAAAGTAAAATCGATCTTTATGGATATTACTTTGATTTTGAATTTTGAATACACAATGCAAAAGAGATAGAAATCATAATAAAATTAATTTTCTTTTTTTGCTTTCGAAAGAAGGGATAGTACTCATAATTTCCTTTATTCTATGATTTGTATAATTTTAAATCTGTTTCACTTCTCTATTGATTTGGATATATGTTTTATTATTTTTAGTGTACTGAATTTGTTATATCTGTGATAAGCATTATTATAATTGTATATAGATACAAAATAGTATTTAATACAATGTTATAATAAAATAACTATTTATTCATCACTTCCTGTGGGGTTTTTTTAATACTGACTGTTTATAGTGAAGACATACAAAATCTGCAGTATCACTTTATTTAGGATGTGGATGTTAGCTAATGTTATTTCACATACACAGCACAGCACAGCACAGCAGACACCCCCCACCACCACCAGCAGTGTCCAGCACACCAACACCACACACAGAGAAAATCTATTCAGCTTACCACTTTGGTACTGTGGTAGTGTATTATGGTGAGTGACCAGATATGAAGTCTTATGAACAATCACCCCTCACAGGAAGAGGGTTAGTGCAAGTCTGCAGTATATATACTGAGCGCCATGGAAAACGGATCACTTAGTTATTCGTATAACAAAATGATCCTGTAAACATATCTTATTTATTTTGCTTCTTATTGTGAACAATATTCAACAATAACAACACATTTGTACACTTATGGATGTTTAATCTGTAATCAAGGGTACAAAGTCAGAGGGGTCAAAACCAAAAGTACGACACAGATGTCAGTAGCGCATGTGTCCTCCACGGGCCATCATCACGGTAGGCTACAGCATTAGCGCGACCCCTGCAAATGTGTACGGCGGTCCGGTGATGAAATGTGAAGCCTCCCCACACCATTACACTTCCCCCACCCCATCGATTTGTTTCGAAGACACAGCAGTCTGCAAGACGTTCCCAAAGACGTCTCCACACACGTTGACGGCCATCATCGTGATAAAGATGAAAGCGACTCTCATCACTGAAGAGCACACTTTGCCAGTCTACTCTTCTCCATGTCTGGTGTCCTTGAACCCATATCAAACGCCACTGGCGGTCCCTGAGGAAAGCTCCAACATAAGGTCGTCGTACACGGAGCCCTACTTCTCTTAGACGATGTCTTACGGTGTTGGCACTTACGGGTCCTTGTCTTCCGACGACTGCTGCACCTGTTCGGGTCGCTGGGCGGAATCTGTCACGCAGATGAGTGACCCGGATGTAGCGGTCTTGAGCCTGGGTTGTAACGCGTTGTGGACCAGGACGTTGATGGTCACGTGTTGATCCAGTAACTCGAACACGTTCCACCAACCTTACAATAGTGGACTGATGACAATTGAAGTGCCTGGCAATAGCACTTGTATACATGCCAGCCCTGGACATTCACATGGCTTCATTCCGTTGAAGGACGGAGGGGCTGACAAGGAAAGCTGTCTAGTCGTTCGGATGGGACGAAAAACCGAGGTCCCGTGTACACATTGGCGTGCACGTAAAAGATCCCTTGACAGTTGGAATTCGATATAAGAGTAGGCCGTAGTGCCGCTGTCCGGACAAAATTTCCCTCATAGCACACTGTATGGCGTATGCCCGTCTTCATTAGCCCAGGTTAGGAGCAGAACAGTAGGACGTTAAACCCCATTTCATTTCATTTCATTTCATTCCGTTGATTTTCAGTAAGTCTCGGCATCTCTAGCTCGATTCCTTCACACGTCCAACAACAAATTACGACAGATTGACGTTTCACAGTTCATGTACTGCACATTAAGTTGAAAACATGCTTTTAAAGGGGTCACACACAATGCTGCACGTGAATATTGGGTTTTTCATGTGCATCTCGTGCAATTTTTTTTTTGCACACGGGCCGATATTTTTTGCGTTTGGGAGCATTGTGTGAAACAATAGTTCATAGTATTGCATAATATTATACATACAAAACCACCTAGTAATAAAATATTTGGGAAAAAAAAGTGATGCGTTTTCCATGGCGCTCAGTATATATAAAGTGTGCATGCATGGGTCAATATTTATACGAAATGCATTTTTTTGTTTTTAGCCAGATGCACATAGTTATAAAGTTGAATGCATAATACATAATTATATGGAAAAGTTTGTAAGAAAAATATAATTTTAAAACCCCCCAGAAAATCTGCCATTTAAATATATTATTGACTAGCAGGATACCTGGCTTCGCCCGGGCCCAAATTCGATTACCTAAGACAATCAAGGAGTCATGGTGATTAATTTTATACCACATAAATTAGGAGGTAGTTTCATTGGCGAATATACACACAGATATTTTTGAATTTTTTTTTTTTTATATATATACTTTGTGTTATAATAATTTTCAAAAGTTATTGTTTAAATGGGGTTAGCTCCCTTGTATTGCTTTTAACATCCTCAACATCTTGAGTTAATCCGGCTCATTGACTTGACTCAATAACATATTATATGATCTAAATCAAACGCGTCAGATCACTCTACCCCTCAACCCTACATTCCATTAAAAAACCACGGGGCAATTGGATAATCGATCCCCAAGGCCTTAAATTTATAGAATATTATTTTTGTTTCCATTGTGTTAAAATATTAAAGGCTTCTAAGTAATTTATTGTCAGTTTAGAAAGTCACAGGCCCAAGCCATTAACTTTTAGCTTTTTATTATTTGTCCTGACAAGGACTGCTGTCTAGTCGTTTGGATGGGACCAAAAACCAAGGTCCCGTGTACACATTGGTGTGCACGTAAAAAATCCCTTGGCAGTTGGAATTCGATATAAGAGTAGGCCGTAGGCCACTATGGAAGAGGCGATAAACCGCGATTACAAGAAATTGATTTTTGGTTAAAAAACATTTTATGGCCTAAAAATGCGTTTTTGAAAAATAAAATTGTTCCTACAACCGCAGTTTATCGCCTCTCCCATATATGCTAGGTATTAGTATTCTACGCATCCTTTTTTTTAAATTTTTTGGACCACAGGAACAGTGCCGACTAATCTATCCTAGTTGGGGGTCGTGTTATTTTGGGCGTGTCTGTTAGGGGCAACCCGCCGCACAAACTGTCTGGCAGTTGTCATTCAGGATTCCTGTGGTGGTACTGAACAACTCCAAAGCTCTTTTAGGTGGTACAGATTTGAGCTAATCTAGCCTAGCTTTGATCTGGAAATTAGATAACTCTTGTCAGGAACACTCCATCACTATGACCTTTTTTTTCTATTAACGTTTAGAGAAAAAATATAACTAACTTATTTCTATGAGATCCACACTGCCCGAAAAGTATTTTCTCGTCTTTTTCTTGTCCACTGCATGCCCGAAAATATGCCCGAAGCTCTCTTATGATATGTATGCCCGAAAAAACGGTATTGATTTCGGGCAATTTTCTCTTATGCCCCCCTGAATTACTTTGAGCTCCTACGCCTATGGGGGCCTCACCCTCGGGGCCTCACCCTCCCGGAGAAAATTTTGAAAATCTAACCACCGCAAATGCGTTTTCTGCTATTCTAGCCCGTGTAAGCAACCCCAAAAGTATCCAATGGTTTTGTAACCGAAATCCCATTCTGAATTCCAACCATCCAAGCAGACCGTTCCAGCTGCATTCACAAATAATAATCGATGCTCGAAAAATGTCGCACAAAGTAGAGTGGCTCCAGACAAATAGAGAATCTCCTACCAGTCTTTTTTGATATCAAAAAATATCAACACAGTTGATAAAGTAAAAAAAAACGAGGCGCTGCCGAGTTTTTTTTACTTTATCAACGAGCGTTGATATATTTTGATATCAAAAAAGACGAGTAGGAGATTTTATTTATCACACAATCCCTTCTTACATGCACAAATAGATAAATATAATTCTTTGCTGTAGATTTCACTTTTACTGAACATTACGGCGTAGTGATTCATGATTTTTTGACAGCAATTCAACCATTGCAAAGTCCTTTATATTGACCCAGTGTTTCCATCAAGGTCAATTGAATAACAATAGTTCATTTTTAATAAAAAAAAAAGTTACTTTTTATAAAAAAGGAACTGTTCTTTGAAAATAAAAAAAGTAGTTCCTTTTCAACTGACCAATCAAATTCATGTAAAGCGATATCTCCTAAGGAGATATCGCAGTAGATTATGAAATTTATCACACAAGCGATATCTACTGTAGAATGTATTATTGGGTGATAAAATGTTTTAATCCATAGTCAACTCAGTACAAATTTGTGGTATTCAATTAAAAGAAAAGTGAAATTAGTGTTTTATTAGGGCTCAAGGACAGTTAGGGAAGAAAAACTAGAAATGCCCGAAAAAATTTCAGGTTTACAGACAGCGGCGCCGGTTTTCTTCGAGAGGTGAAGAAGCAGAACTGACCTTGTATGGACCCCCGAAGAAAATTTTGGAATATTTGACGGCCGCAAACGCGTTTTACTGCTATTCTAGCCCGTAAAATTAGTGTTTTACTAGATTTCGGGCACTTTATTTTGCCAAGTAGATGAAATAATTTTTTTTTTTTCACTTTACCCTTCTGCCCGAAAAGTCAGCCTGCCCGAAAGTTAGGGGGGCAGCCCCCCCCCCCCTGCCTCCCTGGCTCGTACGCCTGTTGCCCATAAGTATGTGTCTATTTCTAGCATGTATAAATAAATACTTTAGTCATTTTGACACAGACATATCTTTTTTAAACTGAATTTCTGAATACCAGATTTTCTTCTTGTCAACTTTTACATGAACTAAATTAAATATTCATTGGATGTTAAGCAGGGATCAGAAGTTTCATATGAACAAACAAACAATTCGGGACTAACACATGGTACAATTTTATTTCAACAATTCGCTTGCGCGTAGGGGTCTTTAGCAGTAGGGGGAATCCGGAGGACCCGGAGAAAACCCACGAGGGTCGGCAGGCGACATCAAAACAGGGGAATCGAAACCATGTCAGTTGACCTTATGATACAGCGCACACGTACTAACCATTCGGCCACCCAACCCCCAGGGTACCGTAACGTATTATTATTATTATTATTAAACTTATAAAACAAACATTACATTAAACGAAATGATACATAGTAATTTAATTATGAAACATTTTTGGTTTTTCGATTCTTGATCTGCACCCACTCACTGGCTAGGCTATATATGGAGTTGATATGGAGTTGGTTAACAGCCTATCGCTGAAACCATCTATGATCTATAAAAAGCATGTCAAATAAAAGAGGGTGCAGGCCTCTTCATCAAACACTGTGACTATTGACTATGCTTATAATTTGAAGAATTGCCCAAGACCCCTTGATCAGCAAGCCAATTGTTAAATAAAATTGACCATATGTTAGTCACGTAGTAAGCAAATGAAAATGGGCATTAGGCCCTATTTAAGCCTAGGTCATGAAGTGTGTTATGAGGGAAATTTTGCTCTGACATCAGCGGTACGGGATCTTTTACGTACATTCCAATGTTTATGCCTAGACTGGACCTCGGTTTCCGTACCATCCGAACGACTATGTAGAGAAAATATTACATGGCATACCGAATCGATGGTAACTTTTTTGAGTTGTGATTGATATAGCTGAAATAAACTTTACAAGAGTGGTTACATCCGAGGATAGCCCGTTATATTATCTATATTACTACAAGCCAGTAAGTATATAATATCATAGGTTCAGTATATAGAACGTCTGACCTGAGCTATTAATAGCCCTACCTGTAATATTAACTGAACGTTAACAATATTGCGCAATATTTTTGTACAGCCAAGTGAAGAGGACGTAAAGTGTCAGCCAATTCGTTTGAGGGAAATTTTGCCGGCAAGTCTCTTATTTTGATACGCATTTCAGTGTGGATGTATTATGTCGCCATCCTGTTTGTCAGTCCGTCCGTCAACAGTTGGTTTGTAAACGCGATAGAGGCAATAGTCTTTGTCGGATTATTTTCAAATTTGGAAAGCACCGTGTCATGAGAGAACGCACCCTTCGTCCTGACAACTTACTCAACCACCATCGGGATCGAACCTGGGACCTCTTGTTTAGTGAGACATACTTACTGAGCCACCAAACCACGACAATTATGTTTGATACAAATTTTTTTTTTCAATAATTTCAGATGTAAAACTACAAAAATGCTGGAAGAAATAGTAAAACAGATTCCTCTATCTTTAACCACCCAGGCCTTGTTGATCGGGATAACAGTGGGCGTGGTTACATATTACACATTTGGAAAGAGGAAATACAAATTACCACCTGGACCGTGGGCTCCTCCATTACTTGGAAATATTGGGGGTTAGTTTAGTTATATAATCAGTAAAATAGTTTATATTGTAACCAGTTGCAATCTAGATGTTGATAGTAGTCAAGAATTATATAGAATACTTCTTACATTAGTTGATACCAATAAATATAATATTAAATATCTTAAACTAGAAGATTTAGAAAAGGGTAAGTGGAACTTGTAAAATCTTGCTCAGAAATCCATCATCAATAATCAACACACACTGGTTTCCTCACACAATTCTGTTCATTATTGATATGACTTTTGTGTCCCACTATACAATCATTAACATGTGTAATCACTTAAAGTCTTTTACCTATTTAAAATCATCAGAGTTTCCATTTAACATAACATACTTCCTCATCCATCTATGATCATCAAGGGGGTTGGGTGGCCAAATGGGTTAACAAGGTCTGTCATTGAGTCATGTTAAGTCTTTTACCTATTTATAATCATCTATAATCTATAATCATCTATAGTCTATAATCAAAGTAGTTGCGATCTTTGGGATATACATGTAAACATATATTTTAAGTTTTGTCAAAATCGGATAGAAATTGTGTTCCTTAGAGGGTCTACAAGCTTAAACATGATTTTCCGTACAAATAAATGTGGCTCCCTCAGTTGTCTGTGTGTAATCTCTTCTAATACTGATAACAAGTTATGTGTAAAATAAGACAACTGATGTTTTTTTTTTTTTTTTAACAAATTTTCACAAGTTGATTTCCTTTATTTTGTTAATGTAGAATGGTAATGAACTGCTCTTTTCATTTTCTTTGTTTTATTTGTTTCGTTTGAATTTGATTTATCAGTTAAGTTTTTGATTGTTTAATTTTTGTTAATGAAGTTGATTCTTTTAAACTTCGTTTTTATTTTTGAACTCTACTTGGTGTAGGTGTTCATCAGGTAATACCTCGACTGAGTTCAATATAGAGATTAGCCGGTTGATTTGTTGGATATAAACCTTTGAATAATAGCGCCTAACAGGCAGCTGTGTTTAATTATGTTCTCCTGATTTTGATTGTTTTTGTGTGTTTGAAGTATATGTTTGTGATATGCGCTTAGAAACACTTCACGTGTAATGAAGCGCTATATAAATCGAACAATAATAATATATCTTAATTAATACCTACGTTTTATGTATCTGCTCTAACTCAGCAGGTCGAAATTAGGCGACTTAGACCTTTGGGGTGATAAAAACCACGCCGGAAATACCCGACGTACTTTCTCAGCCAATGCAGGGATCAAGCACCCGACCTTCGGGCCATCGAGCCAGCGTCTTACCCACTTAGTCACCGTGACCCCCACTTAAAAATATGATGACCATCATTGATAACACGGAATTAATTTTGTATATTTTTTGTTTCAGCAATAATGTCCAACACACCTCTTTATAAGCTATTATTAGACTGGAGACAAGACTACGGACCGGTGATAACTATATACTTTGGTAAATGCTACTGTAGATACTTTTAATTTTTAACCTAAATGAAATACGAATGTCCCACAATATGGATTATTAAATATCACTTCGGAAGCGAGCGCTATATGATTTTCAATATACGAGCATTTTCCAGATAAATAAAATGAAATGGGGTTTAATGTCCAACTTTTAAGTTTACTAATAATAGCCTCTTGTGAAAATTGAGCTAACTTTGACTTATTCATAATATATTTTTTATGGGACCCCTAATGCCTATATCATAAAATAGAGCCGTAACATGAATAATTGTATTAACGTCAAAATACGTTCCAAACTCGTGGGTTTTCTCCGGGTGCTCCGATTTCCTCCCACTTCTAAAGACCCCTACGCGCATGCGAATTATTGAAATAAAATTTTAAAAAACATATGTTAGTCCCGAAATGACCTAGTTTGTGTCGAGTGGACGTTAAACCCCATTTCTAGATTTCTAGTAGTTAAAATACATCTGCAACTAGACAAAGTAAGCCAGCGATTTTATATGGAAAAGGTACGAAATTGAAATGAAACGGGGATTAACTTCGTACTGTTCTGCTTCGACTGGGCTAATGAAGACGGACGACTATACGTTGAATCAAGCAAGGCTCTCCTCCCAGCACCACGGCTTCCTATATATGGAAGTATAAGTGTTGATTGTGATTTTAAACCAAGCTTAGACGCCATTATCAAAATATGTTCATTTTTCAGGGCCTCTAAGATGTATAATGTTAAATAGTGGTGATGCTGTGAATGAAGCTTATGTTAAAAAGGCTGCCGAATTTGCAGGAAGATATCAGATTTGGTCAAGTAGGTTTCCCTGCATACATACTACAAATTATACAATTCCATTTAAGGCAAAAACCATTAAATGTACATGGTATCCATTGACATGAATTGAAATAAAATCTGGTTTAAGGCCACTCGATGAAACCAGGGGACCCAGAGAATACCAACTAGGTTGGACAGGAGACCCTACTTCTTGTCACTTACAGAATGGAAGCCTGGCAAGGAAACAGAAATGTCTCTACGTTGTTACTGCACTCATTTACTTTCTATTTCACAGTATAATTCATTTATTTTATTTTTATTTTTAGTGGCTTCTTTCTCAGATGATTACAGAAACATCGTATTTTCTGATATTTCGCCAGCGTGGAAATATTTAAGGAAAATAGCTCATCAAGGTTTAAGGTAAATTATGCTTCAATATTTTATTAGTGTGAAAATCCACCCATCGCTATTATAATTAAGGTTTAAGGTAAATTATGCGTCAATATTGTATTAGTGTGAAAATCCACTCATTGTTATTATAATTAATGTTTCTTAACAAATCACTTTAACTTATTTTAGGCAATACCTATCTGGAAGCGCTTTAGAGGAAAACTTATTTGAAACATCATCAAAAACGATGAATAAATTCAGAGAAGAAAATGGAAAACCCATTAATATATACAAATACATAAATTTATTGGTCTTTAATTTACTTAATGGTGTCTGTTTTAATAAAAGGTAATTCTGATAAAATAACAGGTTATTCTAACGCAATAACGGTAATTCTAATATAATAAAGGTAATTCTAATATAATAAAGGTAATTCTAATACAATAAAAGGTAATTCTAATACAATAAAAGGCAATTATATTAACAGCTTTTATCGATAAATCCCCTTATTACTTCTACCGATATTTATTCCAGTTTTGAAATTGATGATAAATTATTTCTGGAGTTGGTAGAAAGTTTAAATTCTGTTAATGACGATATTGGAAAAGGTTTCTTGGAAGACATAATACCACCGCTCCGTAAATATCCAACAGCAAAATTTAAAAAAATCAAGAAAAATTTTGGAGTAATTGAGACTTTTATTGCAGAGGAATTTGCAAAACATCAAGAGCTATATTCGGAAGGTATTGGTATTGTTTCTACTTATCTAATTAGGGTTGTTGGAATTGAGCGAAAGACAATTTCGTAACTGGTCTGGAACCCGAAAGGCAGTATCAAAGTATGACTTCTAATGTTAACACAGGGATAATTAGTTGCTCCTCACAAAAAAAAGTACCAAGTTATATTCAGACGTCGACTGGCGATTCCAAGAAGTATGAAATCACTAGAAATTTGCAATAGGAATGATAGATTGTAATAATTTTAGACCAATAAATTTTGGTGTGGATCACTTTTAGCACACTGTATGGTGTACGCCCATCTTCGTTAACCCTGTTGGTGCAGAAGAGTAGGATGTTAAACCCCATTTCATTCATTAATTAGATCCCGACACTAGCTATATCTGTAGACCTAAGATTTTCAAGGAAAACTTACTGTCATCCACAAAACAATCAACATATAAAATTCATTGAAATTGACAATTATTTTTATGAATCATGATCAAATTAAACCCTCTCGTCATTTTAATTTCAGGGAATATGAAAGATTTTACAGATTTTTTGATCCATGGTAAAAAGCAAGCAGCACTTGAAGATCCTGAAATAAACTCCATTGTCACAGACAGACATTTAATACAAGCTGTTACTGATATATTTGGAGGTAAAATATCTTTTGAAAATAAATGTAATTGGGTTTAACGTCCGACTATTTTATGTGGAGTTACCACCCTTGTCATCGAAGCCCTGGAACCGCTTTACATCCTAACTGGGGGTTTAACGTCCTACTGTTTCGATATGACCGGGTTAATAAAACTAATGTCCAAAAGAAAGTATACACTGTGCATTTCGTGCTGCATCAACAAAGTCGTTTTCCATCGTATGCGGCATTTGGGTACAATGTCAATCTGTTTCGCTTTTTTTATTTTGCTTAGAAGTATTGAGTTTGGACACAAGAGACATACCCCGTAAAGTTTTTTCAAATGTTTTTAATCAAAATAAAACTTAGTCATATTTTTAGTGTGTATACATTCTTTTGGACATTAGTATATGTGTGTTATTTTGCTGCAGTACGGCCCACTCTTACATCGAAATCCACCTGTTAAGGGTTCTTGTGTAGATGTTTTCCCTTGCTTGGCCCTCTGTCCCGCATCACTGACAAGGGTGAACCTCACCAGAAAATAAATATTGCAACTGTAGGATAATAATGCAGCTCTTTCATTAAGACTATTTTCCCGTCGCATTTAACCACGACCAACTAAAAAGTCCAGCGGGAAATCCTGGATATTATGGACGTGTGTTTGAGGAAGAGCAGGGGTGGGGACTCAAAATTGGCACATTTTTGGGACGGCTACACGAATGAGACGAAATTTCTTTTTTTACTTTTCCCACCTAGCTAGACCATCAGACGGGAAAAGAGCTATATGTCCTTTAGTTAACATATTTTTAATTATACGTATTACCTAATTGTCCGTTGTTGTTTTTTTTATATTTACTACACTGTTTTATTCGTCGTTTGTCAATCAGCCTTTTATAATTACTTCTGCATTTCCTTGTAGTATATTTGTTTCTTTATTCATTACAAATGTCATCCGAAACCATAGAATACACGAACGTGTAATGATTTTAAAATGTTCTTTATGTCTTAAATATTTGATATATTCGGATCCCATGCACGGCAAGATTACATCTATATTAGTTGAAATGGACCAATATTTTATATTAGGATACAATATTTGCACGGCAAGACAACATGTATATTGGTTGAAATGGACCAATATTGGATCTTAATTGGTGTTTTTAATTTCGAATGTTATGGAAAATATTGACTTCGAGATTTAGCTCCTTTAAATATTTTATTTTTCAAATTGTTTTAGCTGGAGTTGATACAACCAGGCAGACAATCACGTGGACCATTCTATTATTAGTAACACATCCAGAAATACAGAAGAAAGTTCAAGATGAATTAGATGAAGTATTTGGTAGGTATCTCAGTATAGGTTATCGTCAGACATACAGACACACAAATAAATAACAAAATTCAATCCTTAAAATTTATTTTATTTGAAACTATGGTTTTCTTAATGAAAAGGAAAAATAGATTTATAATTAGAAAATATGCCTTGGAGTAATATTGACACTTGTATTTTCTATAGAATATGCCTGGGATGTAGGACATTTTCCACGGGGGCTAAAGATGCATTATGTAAGATTTAGATAAAGAACTGTCAGTTCTCGCTATAATAGATAAAAATTAGATAATGAAAAGAGGGATATTTTGAAAATTTAAAGCCTAAAGAAAGACCTGCAATAGGCAGATTTAGCTCTTGTATAAATAATGCATCCTTAATGGCACGCGGCAGGGACAAACATGTCAAAAAAGGGGAGTTTTAGATTTCAGTAATTCTTAAGTCGGGCAAACTAGATTTTATTGGCACTATACCTATTATTTTATACACCAGATGCCGGTCAGCCAGTGACAGTAAGCAGTAGAGAAAAATTACCATACACAGAGGCTGTTCTTCACGAGAGTATGAGAATTTGTCCTGTTGTTCCAATTGGGTTACCACATAAAACACGATGTGATGTAACTTTAGGTAGGTCTAGTATGGAAGCCTATAAGGGTCAATATCGAGGCAGATACCAGGATATTAATAGTGTAATATGTCAAAATATTCTGATCGTTGAGATGATTGAGCCCTGAAAGAGGATTTTAGCCCTGAAGTGATTATTTTTGCCGAGTAAATTGAACCAGCCCGCTATGTTTAATGTCTTCATTTCGTTTCAAATACGCGCGTTTGCGTTAAGATATTGTTATTCTGAAGTTGTGATACAACGTTGTGTCTAGCAATCTAAATAAAACACGTTGTGATACGATTTGAGGTAGATCTAGAGCTAAGTCTAGCAATCTAAATAATATATATATATAATACATTGATTTGTATATATATATTGATATATTATTTTTTAGACCATATTATTAACCTATATATTATCACAGTGCACGATATTCATTGGGGGCCAAAATTATTTGGGATTCGTTTTAAATACATATCTATTTAGTAATACTAAAACAAATAATTAAGGGACAACACTTTACGTATGTATGTTGCAGGAGACTATGAGATACCAGAAGGTACTATGGTGATGACCAATCATTGGGCTCTTCACCACGATCCAGATGTATGGAAGGATCCGGAGGTCTTCAGACCTGAAAGATTCCTGGATGAAGATGGAAAGTTGGCGCCAAAAACAATGTCATGGCTGCCATTTTCTGCTGGACGTAGAAATTGCCTGGGTGAAACTATTGCCAGACCCGAAATGCATCTCATGCTGGCTCTGCTTCTGAGAAATTTCACATTTAGATGTCCTGAAGGCGAAACCATCAATTTGATTCCAGTGCCAGCACTAACTTTTTCACCACCCATGAATTACGTAGTGGCGGAAGAACGTACAAATTAAAAACAAACTACTCGCAATGAGCACCAGACATGTTTCTGAGTAAGCACTTCAACTAATCAAATTGAGCGACAGACATGATTCTAATTAAAAATTAACTAATCAAATTAAGCTTTATGGCTTATTTGTGTAATAACAGCTTTAGCAGTTGATTAAAGTAGAAATTTCATATATATTAGTGAATAAAACTCACATTTAGACGTCCTGAAGGCAAAATATAGCAGCTGTAATCAAAACAATAGTCCAAGGTACCTTTAACCATTTATTGTTCCTTTCTTACAACTCTATAGGATGTTTGTACCATAAACTTTTGAATCGTTAAACCATTATACAACACTGACTGTACATAGGATAGGCTTACTACTGGTGGACGTTGATTCACCATGTTCGATTAATAGCCTATCTTTACTGGTTTACTATACTAAACCCAAAGTCTAAATACTCGTCTTCAACTGTCGTTACAATTCAGAAAACCATTGCCCTTGTTTATCTTACATGAACGGAGCGGCCAACGGTTTTAGAACAATCGACGTTTAGTGTCTCTCTAACTTTTCAACAAACACGTTTACATTGCCGCCATAACAGGAATGAGAGAGAGAGAGAAGTGGAGTTTAACGCCCACTTGACACAAATTAGGTCATTTCGGGACTAACACATGGTTTAAATTTATTTCAATAATTCGCTTGCGCGTATATAGGGGTCTTTAGCAGTGGGAGGAAACCGGGGTACCCGGAGAAAACCCAAGAGGTTGGACCGGCGACTCTACTCCTTGTCACGTACAACCGGGGAATCGAAAAACCGTCAGTTGACTCAATGACAGACTTTATGATACAGCGCGCACATGCTAACCATTCGGCCGTCCATACTCCCGAACAGGAATGAGACCACGACTTAAAACTATGGCCACAGAACACACTTGTAGTCCCAGACAATTAATTAATTTGCCTTACACATAATGCAATACATTTGCTACAGTAACACAAAACCATTAATTTGTTTCCAGCGCCAAAACTAGGTTTTGCCCCGGGATGAATTAAAAATTCTACTAATCAGATTGAGCAACAGACATGATTCTAACTAAAAATTCGGCTAATCAGATTTAGTTTTATAGTTTTCTTGTGTAATATGGCTTTAGCAGTTGATTAAATTAGAAATTCCACATATATTTTACGGAATAAAACTGTTTTAATTTTGCTTACAGTGGCCTTTTATTTTATTCACAGCAGCAATCTGAACCTCTATCAACAGAACAGTGGTTGGCCGTTATTGAGTTTCAGTCTCCCTAAAACACTATGTGCTATCATTTTATCACAACATTTCTTTGCTTTAGCGCACCAAACTATTTATATATGGAGTGCCATCACAGACATCATGTCAATTCAGTTTTATATCAGATTGTTGAAACTGGTCTTTGGTCATTGTATTGACATATTTTTGCATTGAGCCTTCTTAATTCACTCGTTGAAATGTCTGTCAACAATTAACCCACTGTTTATTTTCTAGAGTTAATGAGTGTGGAAGAGACCCAACGTGGTGAATGAGTCACTGTGTTGTTTATATATATATATTTATAATACACTATAACATCTGAAGACACCTATGGAGGGCAAGCAGCTAACTTATGATTTGGTGTATATCGTAATGAAGTAAAGTGACCCCCCCCCCCCCCCGGCGTGTCTTTTAATTATTTATGTATTAGTCGGGTCACAACCCTCAGATCCGTTTGACGATGGTTTCTGATAAAAAGGACTCTCATGAAGATATTTGTAGTTTGGTACCTCTGAAATCTACGGGTTAATTCCACGAGAGCCGAAGATCAAAGATGACCGTATAATTTATAGGTTCTGTTAGTCACCAGTCTCATTATGAACAGCTTGCGATTCATTTCACAAATGGTTGCTCCAAATTGGCGACAAATTAGCTTGAAGATGATTCTTTCAATACCAATACAACATATACACGTGTGATATGTCTTTTCAGGGATTGTTATTCATATACAGCTCAAGCATATACATTATTCTATTAAAAGGTACTTATCTCAAATGACAAAAAAAAAAAAAATAATACATTTGACCCATGGATGTTTCAGTACAAAACTTTTACAAAATTGTCATTCCTGGATGTACTAGTGAAGAAAACAGAAGCCAGGCTTACAACAAGGGTTTATAGAAAACCAACACACACTGATCAGTACATTAACTTCAAGTCTGACCACCCACACAGTGTTAAGAAAGCCTCCATAGCAATTTTAGCCCGCCATGCTGTCAACAACTGTCGCAAAGAATACCTTCAAAAAGAATTAGAACACATCGAAGAAGCCCTTACAGACTTGAACAACTACCCACGTCAGTTAGTTAAAAAGACCATTAAACCCACCATTAACAACCCTACAAATTCAGAAAAACCAAAACTAGAAGAAAAATAAACACCTATAAGAATCACTATACTGTTCGAAGGCCTAAAGAGAGACCTGCAATAGGCAGATTTAATATTTGCATAATATATGTTTAATCAATTATTGATTCTGAAATTCATAATCAAGATATTATAGAGAGAGAGAGAGAAATGGGGTTTAACGTCCACTCGACACAAACTAGGTCATTTCGGGACTAACATATGGTTTAATTTTATTTACATAACCCACGAGGTTGGACAGGCGACCCTACTCCTTGTCACGTACAACCGGGGATTCGAAACCACGCCAGTCGACTCAATGACAGACTTTATGATACAGCGCCGCGCACGCTAACCATTCAGCCATCCAACCCCCCTATCAAGATATTATAGCAAGTAATGCTGGTTATTGTGATACGTTGGCTGGTCTATAGACATGTTGGTCATTTACATCTTTCTTTGTCATAAATATATATATATCATCTTTGTTGACCAAATTAGGTAATAATCCTTGCCGATATGCAGGGGATGTTTCATATCTAACCAGACAACGTTTGGGTTCTTTAGACGACCATTTGATTCTGAGAAAGCCATGATGTAGAGATATGTTAAATTTAAATATTATAATGTAGACTACTCTTTAACTGCTTTGATAGAAAAGAATATAGAAAAACTGTCGGGGTACCTGTTATATGTTTGATTTCGATATCATGAGAGACAACACAATGTTGAAGTCTAAGTCCAAAAGAACATTACATAGTATCCACGCCAGAGAAAAAAGCACTAGACGATCAATGCCAATAAAGATTTGCAGCAGGTATTGCTACAGAAGTGTTTAACACTGGACCTTTACCAACCGGACCAGTGGAGACAGACATAACCTACGCTATGCAGGGTGCTTCGAGGGATATTTTGCTGCTGGAGCGATAGTTCTGTCAACTGTTCTTCGACGAATTCTAACCGTCAATGGATCGTGTATGAGCTCACCAACGAGGACACTAGTTGATGGTTGTTTTACATTCAACCCGAACAGGACTGGAATATCCCTACAAACTTCCACACTAAGGGCCTCTTATTTAGTGAGACATCGCCATATCACTGAGCCACCAAACCACTACAATCTGTTTGATACAAACTGTTTTTTCTATAATTGCCGATGTAAAACCTAAAATATGCTGGAAGAAATAATAAAACAGGTTCCTCTATCTTTAACCACCCAGGTCTTGTTGTTAGGGATAACAGTGGGCGTGGTTACATATTTGGAAAGAAGAAATACAAATTACCACCTGGATCATGGGCTCCTCCATTATTTGGAAATATTGGGGGTGAGCTTGGTTATTTAATGTCATTCTTAATTAATACCTGGGTATTGTTTATCTGCTCTGACTCAGCCACCCCACGCCCATTTGATAGAAATGAGACGACTTAAAGATACATTATGGGAGATAAGATAAAGAGATGGCAGTTCTCGCTATAATAGTTAAAAACTAGATAGTGTAAAGGTAATTTGCTGAAAATTTCAGTCAAATTGATCCACTATGAGCCGAGGAAGAAGCGGGTGAAATTTTTGCATAGTCTCGGTCATCATTACTAAAATCATTGATATAAACAGCATAGTCTCGATTATCCACTTTTATTGATTTAATTATCAATAGCCGTTAGCGGCATATAGGAATCTAATCCAGCCAACATCGAAGGCTAGCCTTGACATCGAGAGTTTATTATGGTCTGGATAAGTTAATTAAAGTCTAATTGATAATTTAGATAACATTTCAGGCCTAAAGAAAGACTTGTAATAAGCAGATTTTGCTCTTGCATAATGCATGTTTAAACCTTTGAGGTGATCAAAAAGTATTATCAAAAACAAATGATAGTTAAATGATATCAAATACAGTCTGTAACGTTGAAAGTGCATATATGCAGAAACCATGAAAATGAAATGAAATGGAGTTTAACGTCCTACTTTTCTGCTCCTAACCTGGGCTAATGAAGACGGGCATACGCCATACACTGTGCTATGAGGTAAATTTTGCCTGGGCACGGCCTACTCTTATATCGAGTTCCAACTGCCAAGGGATCTTTTACGTGCACCTCAATGTGTACACGGGACCTCGGTTTTTCGTCCCATCCGAACGACTAGACAGTCCTTGTCAGGCCCTCCATCCTGCATCACTGAGAAGGGGAAATTACTTTCTCGGCCAATGCAGGGATCGAACACCTGAGCTCCAGGCTAGCGAGCCAGCTTCTTACCCACTTAGCCAGGTGATTCCCCCAGAAACCATGACCATGGATGTATAATATTTAGAAAACAAGCTTGTGACTGAATAATTTCTTGATGAACGACATAAATAGAAAGATTATCCTATTTAGATTTTAGTGTCTCTCAAATCCCAGGATAGGTTACTTGGTACTGAATTTTATTGATCAAAGTTTTAAATTTGTGAATAGCACGAATTTATTGTTGTATATTTTTGTTTCAGCACACCTCTTTATAAGCTATGTCCAACCTCGTGGGTTTTCACCGGGTCCTCCGGTTTCCTCCCACTGCTAATGACCCCTACACGCAAGCGAATTATTGAAATAAAATTAAAAACCATATGTTAGTCCCGAAATGACCTAGTTTGTGTCGAGTGGACGTTAACCCCCCTCTCTCTCTCTCTCTCTCTCTCTCTAAAGACCTCTACGCGCAAGCAAATTATTGAAATAAAATTAAAAACCATATGTTAGTCCCGAAATGATCTAGTTTGTGTCGAGTGGACGTTAAACCCCATTTCTCTCTCTCTCTCTCTAAAGACCCCTACGCGCAAGCGAATTATTGAAATAAAATTAAAAACCATATGTTAGTCCCGAAATGATCTAGTTTGTGTCGAGTGGACGTTAAACCCCATTTCTCTCTCTCTCTCTCTCTCTCTCCGTCTTTATAAGCTATTATTAGACTAGAGAAAAGACTACGGACCGGTGATAACTATATACTTTGGTAAATACTAATTAGATAAAATTGAGCGTTAAATAAACTTTCTTACGTTATATGATTTTTAATCTACGAGCATTATAGATACATACAATAAAATAGGGTTTAACGTCCCACTTTTCTGCTTACTTTTTACAGCCCCGTGTGACACTACGGTGTCGTTAAATAGATCAATTATTATGAATTACTTCCCCTTTGTGATACGGCCCATGATACTAGGGTGACACTATTGTCTGGGACCTTCTTCGACTTCACGTTGTGATAACTATTTCCAATGTTAAATTAAGACTGGAACACTTTTTACGTTAACTATGTTTTTATACCTTTATAACATCCATAATACAGGAAACTAGACACACATCTATGACATTAAATATAAGCTACATATAAGTTCTCTTTCCCCAGCTTGTGTTTACTAGATTACGATTAACATCATTCTCTTTACCCCACCATTTCGTAGGACAGGTTTACTGATGTACCCCCTAACATCATATGGCTCTCCTGCGACTTAACTAGCTACTCTAATCCGAATGATGTTTATTTCCCAGCCTCCCAGCCCAGGAGGCTGTGGTGTTCCTAGCTTCCTAATGATATCTAAAGGAAATTCAACCGCGCACGTTCGTTATAAAGAGGTTTACGTGCATAAGTCATGTATCGAGCCCTGGGAAATTGACCAGGTACCTCCTTTATCGGATTGGTCAGCTGCACAGACGCTACCCTGGATTTCAACACAGTATACTTATATGGGCACCTCGGATGGCGGCTAATCACGTTTCTAACACATGGGACTACTATGATGTCATTGCCCTCTCTACAGAACATATGTAACCTCCACAGTATATAGACCCCATAGTGTTATACCCGGGGGTGTATATCATAAAATAGCTGTGAATGAAAGATGCATTATGTAAGAGCCAAATCTGTCTAATGCAGACCTCGCGTTTGGCATCAAATGTTTTACAGGTATAAGTCATTTTAATGACATGCCAAGTCCTTAATCAAATTACTCTCTAGACCATCGCGTGGCTTTTAATTTTCAACGAATTTAAGCACGTTTGATTGTTAATGATTTAATTTGAAACTGGAAAATCATGTAATACCAAGACAGATAATCACAACCGAGTTCTTTGTCTCAATATTTCATTCATTATACTCGACTATTGTCTCGCTTGTATTCCCGAACCACTGAAAAGTGCGAAAGGCGCTAGAAAGTTCGCTGGGACTTTCCAGCGTGGTTTCCTCTCCTTGTCAGTGGTGCAGGACATTGTCTAGTTTTTCGAAACACCGAGGCAATTGGTGTGCACGTAAGAGAACCCTTGACAGTTTGAATTCGAAATAAGAGTAAGTCGTAGAGCACACTGGGTGGCGTATGTCCGCCTTTATTACCGGTCTACTGTCGCAGCCGAACAGTAGGACATTAAATCCCCTTTCTTTTATCGATGGAATAAATGGCTACTAAACAAGTTTAAATATTTTTATTGTAGCAATGACATATTTATTGAAACAATGATATATATCATAAATATCTCATAATATATACAGATTATATAGAAATACAGCCATTAATATTTTTAATTTAAATAAAACCAACCATTCAGAAATAAACATCATGAAGTAATATTCTATTCCAATCCATAAATTTTAATTACACCATAATCTATCATATTTTATTGGCAATAAATATTACAGTTAATATCGTGCAAGGATAAGCACAACTGCGCAAGAGCTACCGTTTCCGTTTTTGATGAATAAGCATTCAAACAGGGTTAACAGACAAGACCCGTAATCGTCCATTTTGTTAAAGCAACAATAAGCCTATGTAAATGCAAACCGGAAAACTTTGTGGTCATTAATCAGCTTTTAATCATTGAAGATGCATATTAATTTCGAATTTTAAATGGGTCTAAAAGCACATGTGATTTATATTCCATTTTTAAAACATTTATTATAATTTTTAATCAATTATATTTGGTGAAATACGCGAACATTCCAAATTGAATGACAATCGTTTACGTCTAATTAGCCCATTCTTAACGTTTTTTCATTATTATTTTATCATTTGCGAATCAACCATTATTTTAAACTGTTCATTGGATATTAGGATCCCACAATTTCACGGCAACATAACAACATCAATAGCGATTGAAATGAACCAAAACGGAGTCCTAGTTTGTGTTTTTAATTTCGAATATTATGGATAATATATTAAAGATACATTATGGGAGATTAGATAAAGAGCTGGCAGTTCTCACTATAAAATAGTTAAAAACTAGATAATGTAAAGGGAATTTGCTGAAAATTTCAGTCAAATTGATCCACTCTCCACCGAGATTTTAGCGATTGAATTTTCGGCCTAGCCTCGATCATCATTACGAAAGTCGGTACGATAAAAACATAGTCTTGATTATCCATTTCATGATTAAATCTTGAATGGAAGTAGAACAGCAAATCGGAACCTAATCCAATAAACATCGCAGGCTAGCGATGACATCGAGAGTTGATTATGGTCTGGATAAGTTAGTTAATCTCTAATTAAGAATTTAGATAACATTTCAGGTCCAAAAAAAAGACCTGCAATATGCAGATTTAACTCTTTTATAATGTATGTTTAAGTTAGAGGTTTAGCTCCGTTAACTATCTAAACTCAGGTATTTACACTATCCTTGAAGAATGATATCTCTATAATACCGTTAATTTGGGAGCCAACCAATTGAAGACGTAGTGTTTTCAAACGTTGTATTTGAACAAATGTGAAGGTTCGTAAGATACAATAAGTTGATAGACGATCAGGTGTTTTCTTTTTATAAATGTATAACGATATACGAATATCCCTACACAGCAGCTTGTTCTCCAAAAACAGATTGTAGCCTATATCACGTTCACAAGCTTTTAGGTGAAGGTCGAATTTAGACTATTTAAAGATGCATAATGTAGGATTAGATAAAGAGCCGACAGTACTCGCTATAATAGTTACTATAAACAGATACTGAAAAGGGAATATGTTAAAAAATTTAGTCAAATTATCTCATTCTGAGTGGAGTTATGACCGTCTGAAGAACAGTGTAGTCTCGATTGTCATTGCTACTGTTGTTACGATAATAAACAAAGTCTCGATTATCCATTTTTTAAATTAAATTGTTAACCGCCAATGGTGTTTAAATTCGTTAATATTAAAAAACACCCGATAGTCTAGAGAGTTGATTACGGACTTGGCATGTGAATAAATATCTAATTAGTAATTTATATAACAATTGAGGCCAAACGAAAGATCTGTATTAGGACGATTTAGCTCTTACGTGTTTTAATAGTTTAGATCAAGCTATATAATCAGGATTTAGTAATTTGGATCTGTTTAATATCATGATTTAATAATTTGGGACTGTTTAATATCATGATTTAATAATTTGGGACTCTTTAATATCATAATTTACTAGTTCAGATCAAACTGTTTAATATCATGATTTAATAATTTGGGACTGTTTAATATCATGATTTAATAGTTCAGATCAAACTGTTTAATATCATGATTTAATAATTAAGATCAAACTGCTTAACATCATGATTTAATAATTAAGATCAAACTCTTTAATATCATGTTTTAATAGATTAGATCAAACTATCGAATATCATTTCTATGGTAAACCACCACCACCACACACACATACACCGTCAGATCCCGCCTCTATATCACGAATTGTCATTTGAGAGAGAGAGAGAGAGAGACTGACTAACATATGGTTCAATTTTATTTCTATAATTCGCTTGCGCGTAGGGGTCTTTAGCAGTGGGAGGAAACCGGAAGACCCGGAGAAAACCCACGAGGTTGGAAATTGTCATTTGAAATGGACTAGATTATTTTGCAATATAATAATAATAATATTAATAATAATAATAATAATAATAATAACACCAAATTTATATACACCTATACACAATAAATTTATTCATTTACAAATTAAAAATATTTATTTTAAATTAAGAAAACATATTTTAAACTTTTGTACAAGTCATGCAAGAAATGGCACCTTTGCGTCATAGTCTTATTTTATTTAAACATAGTGTTGCCAAGCAACGACTACACGCGCACCAGCTATTTTTGTGAATGTAGGCGAACACGAGTGAATTTCGAATAAGCCTACCAAATTTTAAAGTCTTTAAAAGGCTGTGTAGAGTTGTTTCGAATTGGTTTCAGTAATAAAGGAAATATTTGATGCGCTGTTTCAAATTTTGATCACCCCCCCCCCCCCCTTATGACTGCGTATAGTCAAACAATCAGAACAAATATTTACCTGTAAACCGTTCACAAGGTTTTGGTGACAAGGGCAATACCCCCGTACACAATTGATGCGCGATACCAAATTGTTCATACTTTTAGCTTGTCGAACAGTCTCAGCATGTTTGAAAATACAACTTACAAAACTCTGACCCGACGTGTGTTAACAAGGTTTCGGTGACAGGGGTAATAACTCCTCATAAAATTTTAAAGTGCGACTGAATGTCGACAAGCCGAACAATCCCAACAAATTCGAAAACAAATCTAAAAAATATTTTATGTGTGAAGATGTTACTAGAATAGTTAACGGTCAGAAAGAAGGACGGGTGAACTAGAAGTCCCGATACCGGGGCCAACCAATATCAGCTTCTCGATGCCAAATGCAATGCTATTAATGCTTTATTTTTAATACTATTCTCTTATCATTATGCCCTAAGGACTGGATTGTAAGGTTATAGACTCAAAGGCCTTTATTATGGTTTACTTAGTACAAGAAAACCAATAAATTCATTTTTACAAATAAATGGGTCTGCACACAAATAGTAATACATTCTTTACAATGCATCATCTGGTATCCACATTTTGTCCGATGTAATAACAGTGATTACATTTGGATAATTAGGTGGTTCTAATGTTTTATCTGATATAAGCTATCTGTTTCCTTGGTAACACTGAAAAGTCGCTTGATATCATCCAATAGAACCGAAGGACACCTGATGTTTGTTGAATCACAATTAACTAGGAAAATTATATTAGATCAAGTTAGTTGTATAGTCTATCAGTCGACCAGTAGGACGATGAACCCCATTTCATTTCTTCTAGTGGACACCAGAAAGCTTGAGATATTTCTCACGCTTTTACAAAAATGAGGCCATGAATTTCCTTTGTTCAGCCATGTTGTTAAGACAACATCTTGAGATAACACAAGGATCCAAGCTGCGGTCCCTTCAAAATAACAGATCTACAAGATGCACGTTCTGTCCATATAAATAATATACTAATTTCTCACCCAAACACAGAAACCTTTGCAATTGATGTGAGATATATGTACGTTCAAAGACCTTCGTGTTTGCGTTATGACGACGTCCATTCGAAGCAAGCCCGTTTTCATTTAATTCAAAATACACATATAGTTTATACGTATTATATATTATATTTTTAAAGGCCATATTAGCGAAATCACACAATAAATTTGATCACTCTTCCAAAATAAATGTCTATTTTCACGATGCTACGACATCATCATGTTCTACATTCTCCAGCTTTGTATTCTCAGTCTCAGAATGGCACCTGGAAAGAAAGAGAAACGTAAAGGGTTTAAAGTTCCATTAAGACAAACTAGTGAATTCTGGGACCATATGTATTATCTTTTCATGCAACAATTCGTTCGAGAGTAGCGGGTGGAAAACGAAGAATCCGGTCGGCTCTATTCATTGTTGCTATATAGGGAAAAGATGCCAGGGCTTATGTTTTACCTCGAACACGTTAGATGACTTGGCGATCGACCATTGCAGCCCACAAGCAAAATCTTTAAAATGCATCCAAACATAGCTGAAATTCAATGATCTTCGTTTCACTAATTTGAATGTTGGAAATAAATTTCATGCAGATGGGAAGATACCCTTTGTTATTATAGCGGTCACAAGGTTCTACAAAACGAAACGAGGGACATAGCTTTAGAAATAATTAACGGAAATTGTTGAAATGCAATAGGTTTCTACTTTTTACTAATTTAAATCATCTATATAAATTTAATGTAATGATAAATGTAGCCTGTAGATTACTCACAAGATATTGAAAACCACTGGCGGACGGGGACGACGACAATATACGACGTACATAAAAACGATCACATATATCCAAACATCAACACACTCCTCACATCGCAGACATTTGGCGCATTATTACCAATTCAATGAATAAATTCAACCTTGATTTCAGTTAGCCTGGTGCCTGGAGTGTTGAAATTTTTGTTGATAAACTTTTGGGTCACTTTGATAAATTACATTTTGGCGGCCATCTTTAAAAATTGCCACCGTTATTTCATTAAAATTGAGCGCGTCGGGCAACCCTCATAACTCCTGTACTGATTGACCTATTGCAATATGGCTCACGATGTTCACAAGAAAATTCTACATCTGCTGCTATATAATACTTATTGTTGAATGAATCAAATATTTTCCAAATCAACAGATTATTCTGGAAAAATCAACGTTTTTGCATTTTTTTTCAAGATTTATTTTATGTTTACTATCAAATCATGTTCAGAGTAATTTTAGCCAAATTATGTATTTGGCATAAATAAATACGCTCGTTTTTTTCGGCCCATTTCGCCTCTATAACTACTTTTTGTTTCGAGGATTAAAAACAAAATAGTTATTCTTGCACCCTAAGACACACTGGTTACACAATATATCGCTCTCCGAAATTTCCTGAAGATCGTCATATGTTAATCACGTTATTTCGCCTTGGCCGAATTCGGCCGAATTTCAACATGATGTTGTCTGACATATTTATAATTGGTTTCTTTTGCAATTTAATTGGGATAAAACGTTATCCCTCCCGGTTACTATAGGGATGCCCCGGAACCTTACACAAACAAAATCTAGGGAATGCAAGTATCCACTACATATTAGAGCATGCTGTGTGTCTATTTTCTCAAACTTTTTGTGATTCCTAGTCGTAAATGCATTTCAAATTGTCTTCGCAACAATTCTTTTTAAACTTTCAACTTGTTTGAAATGCATCACTGACGAAAATGATTTGTGGGTACCATATCTAGACTATAAGACAAAAGTTGCCGGGTATAGAGTCCTTGGTGTAAAAACGGACAACATTACTATTTCTGAATGAATAGGAGAACTTAAATTCTGGATATATCATAAATAATTCTCAATACCGCTAAAAATGGTGCAAAGGCATGGGCTATGAAATTAAAATGCCTCGCTATTTTGGTGGAAGGTCTTGTGATGTGTGAGACCCAGTATAATCGATTCCAGATGCACCATTGTATTGTTTATGGGGTAGGGGTGGCGGGTCATATAAGTCAGATATATTTTCTAAAGAATGTGTCATTTTTAGCATTATCATTAGCATCATTTTGAACATTCATTTTTGAGAGGTTTTTTTTCAAGTTCGTTGACTCTGAAACCTTATAAACAAAGATATTATAAGCTATATGAAACAGATAATTGAATTTTCGCCATCTTGGATTTTCCAACTCTTTGTTTAGGTTAATTTTAAGTTCAACAACACTGAGAACCCTTTCAATTGGATATTGCATGTCATATCAAACAGTGAAATGACTATTATCTGACAAATTGGCCATTTTAGCAAATTTGGTCGCCATTTTGAATTTCCGTCATCTTGGATTTGGGACACTCAGTTCATATTAGAGATAAATTTTTATGATTAATGTTTCTGATATCTAGTAAATCACTTTAGTAGACCAAATAGATAATTTTACTTATATGGGTGTGAACATGGTCTGTTAGTAAACTTATGAACAGACATCATGACCCCCCCCCCCCCCCACCCCCGAAAATATTGCTGTTTTCAGATTAGTCTTTTATTTTGAAACTGGTAGTATTAATTAAACAGCATGTACCATATACCAGCAGATACGGAATTGTATTATGAACATTTTGTGCTATATTACATATCCATAGGTGAAACTGTTGAGGTGTTATCAAGATTTCCCTGATTCGCACTATTTCATATTTTAAAAAAAGTGGACATTTGTAAAGATGACCGCCAAACTGACATTTGGCAAAGTGACCCGGAAGTCCATCAACCAATTATAGTATTCAGCAGTGGGAGGAAACTGGAGGACCCGGAGAAAACCCATAAGGTTGGACAGGCGACCTTACTCCTTGTCACGTACAAGCGGGGAATCGAAACCACGCCACTTGAGTCAATGACAGACCCCATGATGCAACGCACACGCGTTAACCATTCAGCCACACCCTCTCCTTTCAAAGTAAAGCATAAAGAACTCTTTTATGATTTTAAAACTAAATACTGAGAGTATAATATATGGATTCACTGTATGCAGTCAATTAAATTCCAATAAATATTCCCTTTTTTGCCTAAAGCTTCTAAAATTTCAATTTCCACGCGATTCTATTTTAAAAAATATATGATTATTAGTGCCACCGCCAAAGAAATAATTTCGCATTATTTCCTAATACAATTAGTGGTTCTCTCGATTTCTTTAACTGATGGTCTACAGAAATCCTTCTGACAAATAAATCGTCTTACCGTTCTCTATTATAGGCTTCAAAATCATCATTTAACTTCATTAGATGTTTCTGGGTTTCATCCATCTCCTGTAAAAGAATATTATCATGGCATTTATATTCCTTTGGATATTATCATTTGTCATGTTTATTAGAAGTATATGTTTAACGCGAATGTTTTCAATCACACCCACTCCACATCTCCCAATCCAAACAGCCTCCAACTTAAACCATGACTGAAACAAATCATGGTCTCCTCCAGAGGCCGTATTAAAAGAACAGAGCAACAAAATATGGTCGTCTCCAGAGGCCGTAATAGAACAGAGCATTAAACCGTGGTTTCCCCTGGAGTAATAGAACAGAGCAAAAAAACATGGTCTCTTCCTTCTAGAGTAATACAACAGAGCTTTAAACCATGGTCTCCGCTGGAGGAATACAACAGAGCAACAAAACATGGTTTAATCTTGAGTAATAGATTTGGCGCCTGTTTCACGAAATTTTAACTAAGACAATTTAGTAATTTGATTGGATAATATTAGATTGATTTTAGTGTTTAGCCAATCAAAACTTGGATTTTATCTTTACCTAAAATTTCGAGAAAAAGGGCTCTGAGCAACAAAAATGTATTAGCTATAGGAATGCTGGCATCAGGTGTTCTAGATATAGCAAGATGCCCATCTTTATTTACCACACCACATGGTGCTGTAAGTGAATTTTAAAAACCGAATCTACTGAGTATACAAGAAGCTAAGTAATCTCGGAAGGAAAGGCTAATAGAGAGAGAGAGAGAGAGAGAGAGAGAGAGAGAGAGATAGATGGGGTTTAACGTCCACTCGACACACACAAACTAGGTCATTTCGGGACTAACATATATGGTTTAATTTTATTTCAATAATTCGCTTGCGTGTAGGGGTCTTTAGCAGTGGGAGGAAACCGGAGGAACCGGAGAAAACCCACGAGGTTGGACAGGCGACCCTACTCTTTGTCACGTACAACTGGGGATTCGAAACCACGCCAGTTGACTCAATGACAGGCCTTATGATACAGCACGCACGTGCTAACCATTCGGCCATCAGTGATGCAGAGGGAGGAAGCTAGGCCATGACAAGGGCAGCGACTAGATCTGTGGTATTGTGTACACATTAGCGTACACGTTAAAGATCCCTTGACAGTTGGAATTCGATATAAGGGTAGACCGTAGCGCCGCTGTTCGGGCAAAATTTCCCCTCATAGAACATTGTATGGCATATGCCCATCTTTATTATCCCGGTAGGTGCAGACAGGTAGGACTTTGAAAACATACCTTATTCACAACCCGGTTTCACTAACAACGTAACCGTGGAGACAGAATTAAACCTCCAAATTTATAGGGCGTGTATTTTATACAATCTGGTGGAAATGACTGACAAATTCAATTAAACATGGTGGTCCAGACATAGCAATACAAAGAGTAAAAAATAATCCAATTATAAACATGAAGTAGAAGATGATAATTACGCAAGCTTGTCACGGGGCATGACAAAAATCCTCTGATCAGGAATTCTCATAAACTTTAACCGTCGAGTGCTATAACAATAGATTTATCTTTCAGGGAGAAACATATAATTGGCAGGGCATAATTCTATGAAATTCAATTAATGTTTATGACTGAGCGATGCTTTGATTCTATAGCCTTTCGTCAGCTATGATATTCTAATGATATTACGTTGGTCTGTAATAAACAGTTACTGTATTCCATGGTCTGTTTCTGTCCAAGTCAATTATTAAATACCACGTAGTATGTCCATCAAGACGTTTCAGTTTGATAAAGATGTAGTCAACTGAAATACAGTCATAATAGAACTCCTCGGCCTATTCAAGCAATTTTCAGGTTATAAAAGCATTTCTTTCAAGCTACGTCAAGCAATTTACAGGTTATATAAGCATTTCTTTCAAACTGCGTAAAGCACTAAGTATAAGAATCACTTCGAAGTCAGTCAAGCGATATGGGTAAAAAATCTCTTCGGAGCCAGTCAAGCAATGTGTAAGAGTCTCTTACCTCGGATGATTGGGACATTAATTCTCCACTTCGTCTGGAGTTCTGTTTGGCTAAACGTTTCTTTTTCTTATGAAGAGGTTTCGTCTCAATGATCATTTCTTCTAGTTCATATGTTGGATCACAATTCAAGTGATCTTTCTGTAAACAACAAACAGAATATATTCATGGTTTGGTTAAACTACTGAATCCATTATAGTTGAAAATCATGAAATAAGGTTAATAGTAGAATCGAATGGATGGAGGTAATTAAAGACAAACGAAATTACAATATTTAAACAGAAATACACATTTTGACGAACCGAACTGTCGACGGACGTCGAGGGACGCCATTTAGACAGTGCCGGATTATGGCTCTGCTGGCCCTAAGGCAAATTTTGATAGGTGGCCTGAAAATACAGATATTTTCGGTTCACTGATAAAATGAAGAAAGTTAAATTTAATAACAGAAAATTTATCACAATTTTTTCTTGACAGTACTATGTATTTACTATCAGATTACAGTAGCTAGATTACAACTTTTCTTTACTTTATTTTTGTGTGCCTTAATTGCCTAATGGTTAATCCGGCACTGCATTTGGAACTCTTTTTTTAGACTTTCCCCCTTGTCAGTTATGTACAGTCGTTCGGATGAAACGGAAAAATGAGGTAACGTGCACAGTTTTGACAGTTGAAATTTGAAATAAGCCTAGGTCATGGCGTATGCCCGTCTACATCAAACAAGTAGGAGCAGGACAGTAAGACGTTAAACTTCATTTCATTTTTATACTTACTGAAGGCACAAATGCTGGTTTTATTTCTTTATTATATATCTTTTCAAAGTCCATATCTGCCATTAACGGATGCTGTTTAAGATGAGCAAGGGAAGAAATTCTGTTATCTGGATCCACTTCTAAAAGCTGAAAGTAAAAACCAGAACTAGTGTTTTAAAATGTCAACACACTGCTCATTCACATCCATTGTTTAATACGTCTATTTACAGCTGTACGAAACTTGCATGGTCTGCAATTAGCTCCGCTTGAGAACAGACGCGACGCTAGTTGACCGACATTTTAATGCTAGCATTTTAGTCGAGAACACCAAAGTATTTATTCCACTTCCGTTTAATGAAATCTTAAATTTTTATTTCATCTTTGCGTGTATCAAAGATGTAAAGCGGTTTCGACCCGCATTACAAAATAGTAGGGAAGAGATATATTCGCAAAGTAAATGATTCTTCTATGTGCAGACTGCGTCTATGCCCGCAGGTAGGTTTGCGTCTGTAGGCTTAAAGATACATTATGGGAGATTAGATAAAGAGCTGGCCGTTCTTAGCATAATGGTTAAAAACTAGATAATGTAAAGGGAATTTGCTGAAAATTCAGAACCGAAAATTTAGCGACTGAATTTTGGGCCTAGACTCGATCATCATTACTAAAGTCGGAACGATAAAAAAAAACATAGTCTCGATTATCTATTTTTTCGATTTAATCATCAATGAGCGTTGAGCAGCAGATCGGATTCTAATCCAATAAATATCGTAGGCTAGCGATGACATCGAGAGTTGATTATGGTCTGGATAAGTTAATTAATGTCTAATGAATAATTTAGACAACATATCAGGCCTAAAGAAAGGCCCGCAAATGGCAGATTTAGCTCTTGAATAATGTATGTTTAATGTTCAAACATGCGTAAAAATAAGTATATTCGAAGTTAAAGCACGCGCACTAGTGTTTCCTAGAATCATCCAATAAATGTGTACTAAGCTAATTTAATATGAACGGATGGGATTGATGTTCGAACTTAGATGAATGACTTTACTACAAGTAATCCAGTTGATTTTCAAAGAGTGGGACATATTGGCAAATAACACTAAAATATAATTTGCAATTGTAATCATGTACAACCATGGGTATGTTAAAGCTAATATCGCACATGTACCTCCCACACACACACAATTAAGGATTGAGGATAAAGGATAACAGCAGGGGCCAAATGAACTAATTGTATAACTTGTGTTCGAGTACGGAATAGGTATAAAATTAGGACAATGCACCAGGACTAATATCAACACATCAATCTAAATATCTGCAGGGGATGGCGGAAAACTAATATCAACGGGAAATTACAAATCTGATAGTAACACCTTAATGGGATACTCACTTTAAGCGATTTAGCCTACTCGGGACATATAGAAAATAGTTTTCTCCTTGCCAGGTCCTCCGTCCTCTGCACCACTGACAAGGGGAACCACGCCGGAAAAAATCACGATGAACTCCCTCGGTCAACACCGGGACCTCCACATTTGATTTGATATAATGTTGTTTGTTTCTTACAATGTCTGTGTAGATTGTTTTGTCCGCAGGTTTGTCTTTTCGATTTTGTATTGTGTGTAGTGCGTTCCTCCTGCACATACTATTGAATAGTTATCTTTTACATTATTCATAGAGGTCACGTCCTTTAATAAGATCTATTTTACATTAGGTCAAGGTGTTCTAAATAAAAGTAAGAATGGCTATATCAATAGCTTCTCGTTTTCTACAAATAACAAAGACTTTCTGGTAAATACACAAAGCTTGGGTCGATGCAATTGTTCAATATATGTGTATAACTCAGTCTGTGACAAGATTTCTAAATAAGAAGAAAAAAAGGAAGGAAAACGAACCATTGGGGCATTTGGAAATAATGAAATAGGATGTCGACTTTGTTTAACGTAAAGATCGTGGAGTAGACAATTCAATGGTTCTAGTCTTGCATTTACATTAAAGGTTACACAGACAACAGCAAAAATGGACTTTAGGCCAAGTGTTTTTCAGACGTTCTCAAAATAAATCAAGTGTATATTCCCAAATTCATTACTTAAAAAATTTGATCTTGAATCAGAGCAGTAGGCAAGTTGTCGAACGGTTCCCTGAAATTAATTTACATCCGCTAGTGTGCAACATTATATGTTATATAGATCAATTCTATTTTAGCCCTCTGTCTCTCTCTCTCTGTCTCTCTCTCTCTCTCTCTCACTCTCAATCGACCATATGTGCGAAGTGCATAAATTATTCAGGGGGCGGGGGCAAACTATTTTGGCAGACGACTTGGATTCAACACAACGCCAGACGACTCAATGACAGACATTTAAGACCACTCGGTATTTTTAGATCCCAAATTCATACCCCCCACCCTCCTCCAAACCTTTCAGCAACGAACGTATTATACCTTTCGATGTTTTTTTAGGTCGAATATAAAAGGAATCTTTATTTAACTGTTACCTGTTTTAATAGGTCACGTAGGTTTTCATCCAGTGAGGAAGAGAAGTGAGGTTTGGTAGAACTGAACAGTATTTTTATTTCATGTAAATGTGTGGCCGAGTGGATCTCATATGGTCTCTGAAAAATAGAATGAATCAGAATTAAAACATAATGACTGCGTATTTTAATTTTCTGGGTTCTGGAAACGATAATTCTGGATAATTTCGAGTATTGGCCTCGTGACATGGCATGCTTATTCTTATTGGAAATCTAAATCAATGTCGAAATATCGAGTATTTTTAGTGGTATCTCGAAAACGAACATCGTAATTTATAATTTATGTTGGGATTTTGTTCATTACAATTAGTCAATACCGTCTTTGTAGCATTTTAAACTTTGTGTTTTCTTGGTGGGATCAATAGCACCAATTGATCTATGGAACGATTTGTCAAACCAGTGACCTTATCCATTCTTCTTCCAATGTAATTTTCACAAACAACCCCATTAAACCGGTCAATATAGTAAAAACAAGATTGATATGATGTAATCCAGTTAAAAAACCAGAACAGTGGGAAATACCATGTTCTACCTCATTACCTTAGGCTTAGCTCACAAATCGCCGTACGAGCTACTAGAGTAAACCCGTGCGCGAGACTTGCGTGCCACTTGCCAATCGGCAAACCTCAGCAGATTCCAGTACCCTATATCTAGCCTCGGCTGTATGACGAAGTCCGCCATTGGAATTACTTTCAAGTTCCCGGATTACCAACGGTGTTGCCATAACGGTGCCAGGTTTTCCTAATAAGTAAACCGGTGCCGCATCGCAATTGTATAGGCGTAGGAACATATCAATTACTGTCATACAGCCGAGGCTAGATGTAGAGTAACGGAATCTGCCAAGGTTTGCCGAGTGTGCCACTTGCGTGTGATCGGCACTGCTGTAGAGACTTATGGTCCCAACATACAAGATTTTCTGCCGGTTTCTGGCGGGTGGTCTGCGAGCTACCAAATCCTACGACAAGTACGTGTTAAAACACGTACGACGGCTTGTGAGTTAGGCTTTAACTGGCAGACTATCGCCACCAAGAAACGGCATTTAGGAGACGACCACCGTCAAGACCAGCCACGTTTTTCTTGTAAAATCATTATTTTGTTTTATTTTGAGTGAAGACTGTGCCATTCTGGCGGGTGATCTGCGAGCTACCAAATCCTACGACAAGTACGTGTTAAAACACGTACGACGGCTTGTGAGTTAGGCTTTAACTGGCAGACTATCGCCACCAAGAAACGGCATTTAGGAGACGACCACCGTCAAGACCAGCCACGTTTTTCTTGTAAAATCATTATTTTGTTTTATTTTGAGTGAAGACTGTGCCATTACAGGCCCCATACTGTATTGCACAACGAACGCTTATGCTAGCTTCCCACTGTCGTGCGATGCGTTACGATACGATTGTCCCTTCTGAATCCACGAGCTGGTACGTGCAGATACGTTCGGACCCGTTTCGACACGATCAACACGATTCCTACGACTGACCTCAATATATGTTATTGTTAAGACTTAAAGGGCTAATCCCGATATTTTTTGGAGAATAAAACTGCTTAATTTTGTATTAAAATCCCTTAAATTCCTTTAGCTAAGGATCGAGCAACTAACTCAATATTTGTGATACGTTTTCAAACAACTTAAACCCGTCAATCTTCATCTGGAAATGGAGACCTGTGTCCCAAGCTGTATTATGTGGTGTCTGCATAAAACTAGACTTTTATTTTATAATAATAATGTGTAGGTGAAATTTACCTTTCGTTATCAAGTAGAGCACATGGGTCATTCACTATGCAGACCTCTCAAGGAACGGGAATCGATTATCAGGTGACCCAACGAAAAAACTGACCCGAAATCTTAAAAGGGTTACGTGTCCGGATAAGCAGTTTTGACGTTCACGTCCAAACGTCTCAATATTTTGAGCTGAAAGTTTGAGAGAAGGTAAATACACCATTCCTCTATATTTTGGCGCTTCAATTTCACACTTTTATAGAATCGCCACAATAACTCCACGATTAAAACCACGATTTCAGTCGTAGCGCGAATCGTGGTAGTGGGGACCTAACATTAAGACTAGCCATCGCTGATATATACGTTTGTTGTGTGAGATGTCGGTGTATATTATGTCCTGTTCTCTTGTGTAATTGTTTATATGTGGTGCGGTCCCCATAAGGTATTTCGGTACAAATCGGCCATTTACTCTTTTATAAAAAAAACATCTTTAATTACTTTTTATTGGTTTAATACAATTTGATATAACGTTACAACAACCAGATGAAGCAAATCTTCAAACAAAATATAATAAAAGGACGGGGTCATAAAACTCAAGTCAAGAGAAAAACTCCTTCCTTTCATTCGTTAGGAAGAACTCAATATAATCTTCATAAAAGCGAAATTGATCCGTGAAGCCAAGTTCTTACTGGGTGTGGAGTTTTTTTCTTAGTCCGTGTTATAGAAACATAAGTGATATTGATTTTATGCTCTTGTCGTATTTGATGTATGACTTACTCTAATTTCACTTTAACAGATCACCAGATTCCAGCATAAAGGAAAAAAATAAAAAGTACTCAAGACTTTTCACATCACACTTTTAAGTTTCAAGTGTAAAAGAATTTAATGTACTAATGAAGGTGATAGAGGGACCCTCAAACGATTCGTCAATCTGCAAATTGATGTAACAGAACTCAAAAAAAATTTCTTGAGTTCTTTTTCTCTCAAGATATAAGTGCCTCAAGGTCAGAGAAATGATCGTATTGTGTTCATGTAAAATGCGTAAAAAATGGCCTCTGTTTATCCGTTTTATGATGTTTTATTTATATTTCCAAGGTACTTTATTACTTTATTAGCTAAATCTACAAAGCAATGTGAACTTTCATAAATAGGCTCATTTCGTTTTTATGATTTTTATGATTTTTTTTTTTTAAACATTTTCATTTTACTTTATTGTTAGATAAAACTTCTAAGGAAAATGTTACCCACGTGAACGTTCTAAATAGAACTTAGAAATGGTTTCAGGGGGGAACTTGATCACGAAAACTTTTAAGGCATAGTACACACAGAGATCCATTTACTTCATACTTCCTGAATAGATCTCTGTCCTAAATGGCCGCCATATCTAAAAAAAATAGTATACTGTTTTGTAATGCGATGCTACTACGATTCACATCTGTCTTACACACAGTCTAAATAAACTTTTTGAATTTTATTATATGGAAGCAGAATAAATACTTCTCACAATTCATATAGTATACTTGGTGTTTTCGACTCAAATCGTCGATTTAGGACTTACAATGTCGATCAACTAGCTTAGTGTCTGTTCTCAAGCGAAGCTAACTGTAGCCAGGCAGCCTAAGTTTAGTATGTTTTTGAGGACGCAGCCTGTTCATTTTAGCTATTGAAAAAATGAACTGTCGGTATACTTAGTACAAGTTTAAATGCATAAGACCCCGGGTATTTACTAAAGTCTAAGCTCCACCCTTTTATAGTTCGATCTTAACCATCTATGCCCGAAAAATCAGTGACGGGTGTCGTACACGACATAGAATATTTTTACTCCTTTGAAGTGAACTTCGCAAATACTATATACAGAAAAAAAAACGAAAACAAATCGAAAAACAACGGAAAAATTTAGAAAAAACTCCGAAAAGCGCCGAAAAATACTGAAAAAAATCCAAATAATATCGAAAAAACACCGAAAAATACCGAATTCTTTTTTGATACCGATTACCGAATAAATCCGAAAAAACCTAAATATAGAGAAATCACTAAATACCGACAAAAACAACACTATTTACCGAAAAAAAAAACCTAAGCCACACATCGGTACTTTTCGGATTGTTTTTTCGGGGTTTTTTTTCGGAGTTTTTCGGTACTTTTCGGATTTTTTTTGTTTTTTTTCCTGTAAAAAGTACAGTCCCTGAATAGTGGTATCAGGCGCTCCCGAAAGAATAGGTGTTGCATATTAAAAGCCTACCTCAATCTTCATAAACGCCATGTAGTGAAATCAATCTTCGACTGACTTCTATCGATATAGAAACTCAGCTAAGATCAATTTTACAATTATTAAAACAAAAATCATCACTTTATGCTGAGAACAATAAAACGTGTAAAGAAAATCGAAAGCTACTAAAGTAAGTTATATATCACTTTATGATTATGATGTAATAAGAACGTAATATTAACATTCTGCACGTAAATACTCTCAATTGCTTATATCTAACTTCAGGATTGTGGCACTGAATACAGAAACACGAATGACTCACAATCTATATTTGATTTATATTTAAATTCGCGTCAAGATGAGCCAAGTTAGGTAATTGGATTGATTACATACACAAAAAAGATGAATCGCTGAGACTGAGATTAAAGAACTATTCTCTGAGTTACTTACCCTTGATTTCAATAATTCATAGGCTGTAACACCCAGTGACCACCAATCTACAGGAAAACTATATCCTAGGCACTCATTAGACGCACAGGAAAACACTTCAGGTGCTGAAATACCAATAACAAATACCAATAACAATATATTACACATTGAAATACCAATTATATTACACATTAAAATAAGAATAGCTTTTTAGGGGCAGCCACAACCACCGAACTTGTTTTAAATAAGAAATATTTGTGCCAAATATCTAATCCTCAGAATAATAGTTATGATTTTAAATTCATTGGTATTCATGTTAATGAAAACATATGAAATCCTCTAACACCACGCGGAACAGTCGAATTTAAGCGTATCTATCAAAATATGTATCAATGATTTGAGCTTTTGGCGGATACATCATACCATAATATTTGACACCATATTATTTAGTAACCGTAGAAAGCTCAATTATCAGGAGAACCGAAGATTATAAAGTCTATACATGTAAACTAATCACCATTAGGTGGTGTTTATTTCGATATTTTTTTTTTTAAAAAAGATCAATTTTGTTCATGAATAAAAATTTGACTTTACTGACGCGATCACCTGTTGTCATTGGACTTTCTATGGATAAAGGATACACCACAGATTTACTTAGTTTCGTTTACAGGAAGATATAATGTATACCGTAAATATGATTTTGTTCATTGCAAGATACGTAGTTGATGTTTGGAACCCTATAACTTACCCATATAAGGCTTGGTACCGGACATTGAAGTTGCCATCTCGCCTGTATGCAGTACTGTGGCTATGTTAAAATCGGTTATATGTACATGGCCTGTTAAAGGAAAAATAAATATTATTTGTGGTTACAAGAAACATTACAGGGTTAATTTTTAGAGTCTTGAGATTCAAAATGATAGTCATAATATCATGTCGAATACAGTGTTATATCGTGACTTTGAATTAAGAATTATCATGAACTACAATGGAATTAATAAGTTAATCAAGAGTTAGGTCTTTCTAGAAAGTATCAGAATTAAGTACTAGGGTTGATTTTAGAAAGTATCAAAAATGAAATAAGAATTGAAGTTTTCCAAAAAATGTCAGATTTAATAACTATAGGGTTTTCTAGAAAGTATCAGAAGTAGGAATTAGTTTTTTGTAGAAAGTATCAGAGTTTAGAATTAAGTTTCAACTAGAGTGTATAAGAATTAAGAAATAGGTTTATTCTAGAAAGTATCAGAATTAATAATTAATTTCCAACTAGAGTGTATGAGAATTAAGAAATAGGTTTATTCTAGAAAGTATTAAGAGTTAATAATTAAGTTTCAACTAGAGTGTATCAGAAATAGGAATTAGTTTTTTCTAGAAAGTATCAGAATTAATAATTAACTTTCAACTAGAGTGTATCAGAATTAAGAAATATTTTTTTTCTAGAAAGTATCAGAGTTAAGAATTAAGTTTAAACTGTATCGTGTTGATTACTTTATGTTGAATTAAGACAAGGTAACTTACCTCCTTCGTCCAGTAGAATATTGTCAGGTTTTATATCCCTGTAAAAAACACACACATGAATTAATATCTAATGAAATGTAACAATATTATGGCTTTGATCAATCATTGGTTCCAAATTCATGAACATGAAATACATTAAGTCATTCAACGGATTGGTCATTATATCCTCTCTTGTTTATGAAAACCCACTAACGGTGATGGAATGTATCTTGTTGATCAAATTAGGTAATAGTTCCTGCCGATGTTTATTTCAGTCTATCACGTAAAGCAATTAGGGGCGCTGGTACCCGATTCAACAGAAGAACGCCATAACAGATGTACCAAGCCAAATAGTATTTTTGGGAACGGGGGAGATTTGTGACTATATAAATGGTCTCACATTTTGAAGAATAAAAGTTAGGAAGAACCTGAACTGTAGTCTGTACAGTTTTGGTCACGGAAGAAAAACACAACGTTGAAATTAAAGATTCAGTAGTACTACAGGAGCAACTTTTAACAAATTTGTTTCAAGAATTCCATCCTAAATTTTGGATGTATTTTACTGCCATCCTACTACCAACCGTCCTCGTGTTGTACATAAATATGTTAAAACTGTAGCTTCTATCGCGTTCACAAGGTTTTCGGAAAATGGGAACGGTAACTTCGGAACGGAATATAAACGTATTTATACATTTTAATTTTCATCAAAAGGGGTAAAAGTTGAGACTTCTAGAGTGTCTGCAAGATAATAACGCGATTCTTCGTACAATCAAGGGCAATCATCCACGAAATAGAACCCACGTGGGATGTAAATCTATACTTTAAGTTTCGTCAAAATCGGATAATTATGTGACCTGTAGAGTGTCCACAAACAAATGTGACACGTATTGTGAACTCGAGACATTAAGCCCCATTCCATTCTCTGTACGTAGGTATAATATATCAAAAGAGAGCAAGACGTGTTGATTAGATACGAATAACCGCTTTGTGATTTAGAAGTTAAAAGTACATTAGAAAATCATCACGAAACCATTAAGGTCTTTGTCCGTGGAGAATTGGTGTGTTAATTATGTCTATGGACAACTAACGGTGAACTTATATTACATTATTTAGGCTTCCCGTGATTACTCACAGTAACAGAAGAGTAGCAGAGCAGTAGGACCTTAAACTCCATTTCATTTCCACGAGAAAGAACATATTCATCACTGAAGTTGTGGTAAATCATCTACATGTCTTGCTGATCTTTCATTTTATTTCGTTTTCTGTTTTCTGTTTTTAACATTTATATTAATGAATAGTCTATGAGCGTTTACGTGCTTTGTCTTGGACAAGAATGGTTTTAATCAACCACATTGGCATAGAAGAGAGTTCAAACAGAAACAAGAATTGCTAATGAAGTAATTAGTTGGATACACATACAGTGTACCACATAAAGAAACAAAGACGGGTTGCCAGAAAAAAAACATACGACAATAGCAGCTAAGTCGTCGGGCAGTCAACAAGGAATGTCGATTTTTTTTTCTTTTGTCAGTAATGAGAACATTTACAACAAATGGAAATCTGATTACGAGTAATTATCAGAAATTATTAGAATTTTCAGTCAATTACTTCACTTTGACCCGTGATATTAGCGATTGAACTTTAGGCTTAGCCTCGATCATCATTACTAAAGTCGGTACGATAAAAATCAAAGTTTCGATTATCCATTTTGACGTTAAATCATCCACCACAAAATGTATTCAAATCCAGGAAACAACGCAGACTAGCAATTGCATCGAGAGTTGATTATGGTTTGGATAAGTTAATTAATGTCTAATTAATAATTTAGATAACATTTCAGGTCTAACGAAAGACCTGCAATAGACAGATTTAGCTCTTGCATAATGTATGTTTAAGCAATGTATATCAACTTAAGCCTATAGAGCGTCCACAATATTTTTCAGAGTGATCAAGGGCCTTAACTCTGGCAGTAATTATCAAAAACCATTAGAAAAAAAAAGAATTCTTTGTCTCATGACCTTAAACACAGTGTATAAATTTAAAATCAATCGGATATTAACCTTGACCTCTAGAGCTTCTACAAGAGTTTTCAAAGGGGTCAAGGGCCATAACTCCGACAGTAATTATCGGAAATAGTTGAAAATCAATAGGCGTCTTCAGCTCATGGCCATAAACAGTGTGATATTAACCTCTTTAGCCTCTAGAGTGTCCACAAGCAATTATGGACGCCGGATCGACGGACGGAGGCCCATGGGCTACAGTTGCGCTAAGCCAAATACCTTGGTGATGTCAGAAGCATACTGATACATGGCATTCTGTACACAGAGAACCATCTACTTCGAGAATAAGTAGACAGACAGTGCAAGTTTGGTATGATATGCATGGCTCATGCCTAATCGTCAGCATTTAAGACATTTAAATGAAGTAAAATGTCAATTCCAATATTGAAAATATAAGTTTTTGGGGTTTTTTTTAGGTTTATGAGCGTATAAATTTCACCATAAACCATTATAATTCATTATTCAATCGTAAATTTTCTTCCACATTTTATGAATTGGAAATTCAAATCAAATATTCCGAATAGTCCTGAATAATTCGAGCCATGTAGCTAAATCTCACGTTTCCCTTGCAGATAATAGCGAAGAAGACATTATACACGGTTAGGCGGATTGTTCTTCCATTTATAGTGATCGGAAACTGGAACAAGTGTGATTTATCCTGAAGCAACGACATGGTAAATTACAAGTGTTATTGACTGACTGACCCTTTGATTGACAGATATCATCATTAAACGTACATTGTCTGCGTTTATATAACCCAAAGTAATCTTAATCTTATAACCTATCCATACTCAGCCATATAACCTATCCTTTTCCGGCATAAAAATGCTTATTTTACTGGAGAAGTCATGTTTGATGAACTAATGAAGATTTATTGTCTTTCACTTATGATTGGAACGTCAGTTATACCCACAGTATTATAAAATTTATGACATGATCCGATAAAACAAAACCATCATCGTGGGATTTGGTAATATTTAGAATTATATTTTATTTTCAATTTAACTAATAATACTTTATTTCCTTGACGTTGTGATGGGGACGAATCTTGGAGAGCAAAGCGGATGTAGGAGTAGTGGGTTGGGTTGGGTGGAGTGGGGTGGGTGTAAACATACGTGTGATGGTAGCGAAAGAGCGAGTCTGAAGGAGAAGAAGGAGGGTGAGTGGGGGTAGTGTAGACATATGATTATGTGTAGGATAAAGCACGAGACTGAGGTTATGCCGAGGGAGAAAGACTGAAGAAAATAACCCGAGAGAAAGAAAAACCGAGGCCGGTATGCCGAGCGTTTTCTGTCGAGGTTTTTTTCTGAAGTCTTTCTACCCCAGCATAACCGAAGTCGAGGACTTTATCTTGCTTATAAACCGTCTATGTTTACATGTACGCAAGATGAGAAGATCCCAGAAATCCCACAAGAAAAACCTTATATCATGTTTTCTTATGGGAAAAAAACCTACCCTGGAAGAATAACCCGTTACAGGTTTAAAGAAAAACTTTCAGAAGAATAACCCCAAATTTCCCTGTATATACCCAAAACCTCCCCCGACTTTTAGACCGCAAGTTATTCCGGGCATAGAATATACCCCAAAGATCAAAGAGATTTACCGTTACAGGTTTATAAGTCATTAGATTCCCGATACTAATATATTCCGTGTTTAATGTTTACAATTTAAGACTAACCAACCCACCAAGCCTTTCTGGATTGCACTCACCACCCCACCTCACTCCCACCTTCCTCTCTCCACCAACAATCTTGCTAAAAACTAAACACAACTAAAAACAAATACCCCCAAAACCTAAGAAGGAGGGTGAGTGGGGGTAGTGTAGACATATGATTGTGTCATTAGATTCTCGATACTAATATGTAATGTTTACAATTTAAGATTAACCAACCCACCAAGCCTTTCTGGAGTGCAGTCACAACCCCACGTACCTCACTCCCACCTTGCCAAAAACTAAACACAACACAAAAAACCTAAGAAGGAGGGTGATTTGGGGTAGTGTAGACATATGAGTGTGTCATTGGATTCGCGAAACTAATATATAATGTTTACAATTTAAGACTAACCAACCCACCAAGCCTTTCTGGAGTGCACTCACCACCCCACCCCACGCCCACCTTCCTCTCTCCACCTTGCCAAAAACTAAACACAACTCCAATCGAAATCCCTCCAAAACCTAATACAAAGCAAACATTGTCCCAGGTATGTCTTCGTATGTAGATATGTTAGTAATTAAATTCACAGGAAAGGAAAGTCTAAAAATGCCTCAGGATGAACGTTCACCAGACATTAAATCTCATTGATTTCCACTCCATTCAACGTTTAAACAACTCCTTCTCAGATAGATGGTTATTTAATAGTTAAATCATGCTTTCTGAACTAATGAAGATTTATAACTAAAACCACACGAACTAATGAAAATTTATGACATTGGTTCGTAATGAGGAAGTTAGTTAATGTTGGAATTTGAAAATGAAATAAAACCACACGAACTAATGAAAATTTATGACATTGGTTCGTAACGAGGAAGTTAGTTAATGTTGGAATTTGAAAATGAAAGTTCTTGGAATAGAATCATTCATAGTAGAATATAAAAACTTGGTAAAACAAACCCCTTTTTGTAGGGTATTTTGCAATTAAGCTCTCTTTAGTTAAAGTCCCCGTCGGCCATTTTGAAACCAATCCATAGTTCAAGTTCACGTCGATTATATAGCAATTGTATAACCCATGAACTAGTTTATGGCATTGGTTCCTAGTGAGGTATACTTAGTTAATGTTGGGATTGGGAAATAAACGTTCTTGGAATTGAACCATGCATATTAAAATGAAATGAAATGGGGTTTAACGTCTTACTGTTCTGTTCCGAACTAGGCTAATGAAGACGGACATACGCCATACAGTGTGCTATGAGGGAAATTTTGCCCGGTCAGCGGCACTACTGTCAAGGTATCTTTTACATGCACGCCAATGTGTCATTTTGTTGGCCAAATAACATTATA